CCTCAGGGTCCACCTGGACTTCCTGGATCTGATGGGTCTCCTGGACCTTCAGGGCCTGCTGGACCTCCCGGCCCTCCTGGACCTCCTGGAGAGGTCATGTTTGAGAAGGCCCAAGGTGAGACTACATACCCAGTTCTTGTCAAAAGTCCTGTGTCTGCATTCACTGTTGCAACTGTGACAGCTTATCCCCCATCTGGTACCCCAATTAAGTTTGATCAGATTGTGTATAATGCAGAGCAGCATTATGATCCTGAGACAGGTCTGTTCACCTGCCAGATTCCAGGAATTTATTACTTTTCCTATAGCGTGCATGTGAACGGAGCTAATGCTTTAGTGGCACTTTATAAAAATAGTGATCCAGTCATGTTTACCTATGATGAGTACAACAAGGGATTTGTAGACCAGATGTCTGGTAGTTCTGTCCTTCAGCTCAATGAGCAGGACACTGTTTATATTCAGATCCCTGATGATGAGGCCAATGGTGTTTTTGCTGCCGATAATGTCCATTGCTCTTTCTCTGGGTTCCTGATTGCCTCCACGTGATAAGGTGATCAAACCACATCATTTCTAAAACATCACTATTTCTCAAACATAATATCCTGTTCTGCAAACCTCAATGCACAACAGACTGTGCAATTGTTCTGAGAAATACAAGCATCCCAACTTGAAAATTCCAAGCAGTGGTGCCAATAAGAAGGAAGTCATTTATGTAATATGTTATCAGGGATACCAAGACGGTTAAAACCTTAACACTTTCATTTTATGTGTGTGGAGAGAGCACGTGAAGAAGTGTTCTGATCATTTCTCGCCTTTTCCTCATTTGTTTTTTTTTTTGTGGTCTTTTTTCTATTTTTTGTTACTGATCACAGTGTTTGTGATTCAAATCTTTGTGTCTTATTTTTATTGTTGTTCTTATACCCTTACTGATTAAACCGAGAGAATGCTCTTCCTGACATCCTTATTTCTGACTTGAATATTGTGAGATGGTGAAAATGATGAAAAACATCTACAAATGTTATCCCAAATTATAAATTTGTATCTGTAAACCATAATAGCTGAAATAAAATATTTCCTAAAGAGTTTTTTTGTCTGTGTTTGTGTTTTAGTGTGCTGAATAAGTCATGAGTCACTTTTTTTTCTTTCAAACAAGGGCAACTACAAAGTGGTATACAATGCAACAGAATTACAACAGTACACCTTTAAAATGCTATTTTGTTTTGGTGATTGAAAAAATGTATAAATCAAAAACCCGTACTTGCCAAGAGTAGTGTATTTAAAAACAGGATTGGGAAGTAAAGGAGTATGCTTTGATAACTGTGTTAAGTTACCAGTCAACCAAATAGATGTGGGTTAGGTGGAGAGACAAGTCAAACAGAAGCCGCTGGGCGGAGGCAATCAGAAGCTAGGAGCCACAAGCCACAGGCAGGCACTGCATTGGAGGAGTTGAGGGATGTGGTTGAATAAAAAAAGAAGACAAGAGCACCTGGAGGGTAAAGTCGTTACCATCTGTAAGTGCAGAGGTGGGAGCCACAAGTTTAACATTGGTGTATAAGATGCATATCCAGCATCTAAACTAGGAACAGGAATATTGGGTGAAAACACACCCATCTTGTGGTAGCTAGATTAGTGGTGGGGTTCATCTTGGAGTGCAGAAAATGCATGGTTCTAAATTATATTTAGCTTCTGTGGTAGGCTAAAAACATCTGAGTAGTGTCTGTGAACATTTATTTTATACTTGGAAAGTATTTGGCTTTAGAAGAACGGCATTTACAAGTGCTGAGGGTAAATACAAAAAACATAATGAAAAGTTCCTCATACCTCAAGGTCTATGTGATATAAGAAAGCAGTGTTGTAAAACCTATAAACCCTTATATAATTACTTAATTAGGTGCTTTACCATGGTACTGTTCAGTATGAGCTGGCAAACGACCCCCACCAAAATAACATGAAAATAAAGTTAGAAATGTTTTCTAAAAATGTATTCTCTTGTAAAAATGTGCAAAATTGCTGTATCACAAATTATTCAAGGCAAAGACATTCATATTATAAAGAATGTTGCACAATCAATACTCAAACAAAACCACTCATTGTCTGTCTAAATCCTTTATTTTTGTTTTGAGTGCCCCTAAAATAAAGGGGTAAAAGAAGCATTGTGAACGATTTGCACGCAGTTACATTCCATTTAAAAATCAAGTAGAGATGGTGCTGAAGTATTTACAAGAAAAAAAAAAAAAAAAAATCTACTTGACGATTGCACCGGCAATTTTTCAAACATTTGTGGAACTCTGCTGGAATAAAAAAAACACTTTGACTGCATTACACATGACAGGCCAAATGTTTGGATCTTAAACATTTCAGAACATTATTCTCAATGAAACGGGTTTTTCCAGATAGAGAGTAAAAAAAAAAAAACTTCAATTGATACCAAGGATATAAAGAAAAAAACAAGATAAAGCCATTTCAACATCATAAAATCCAGCAATGACAAAAGCCAATACCAATACATAATGCTGCAGTTTTGCACAATGCAGGCTGCTGAGGTTTTAAGCACCTGTTTTGATGATTGATGTAACGGCAATGAAATAAGAAAAGAAAAAAAAGTGACCAATAACATCTGTAAATTGTTCAATGATGTTGTTTCTAATAGCTCCTTTTTCCACACGCTTGATTTACCCAAATAGAATGGCACCAGTACCTTCAACTAACATTTCAACTCAATGTCCTTACAACAACTAATGTAAGTTCTACAAAAGAAAAAAAACATAGAAAAAAAAAACATTTGAAACAAGCAATGCTCTATTAATCTCACTCATGCACGCACACACACACACACCCACACAACTTACACAACTGCTACAAAAAATTATGAAAAACATGGGAAAAATGTGCCTTTCACTTCCAATCATTCCATCCAACTTCCTTCCTTCAAAATGCCATATACAATGTAGTGGATGGAACAGGAATGGATGAAAGTATGGGAGAAAACAGAAGGTTTGAAATGTCATTGGTTTTGTACAAATTTTCCATGTTTGTGCTCCTCGGACTTCATCTAAAATGGGCTTTTCACCTCCATCTTACTCTGTGGCAGCGACCGGGGCATCTGAGCTCTCTGCGGCTGCTGGTTCCTGAGGAGCAGCTTCTGCTGGCTTCTCCTCAGCGGGCTTCTCTTCGGCTACCTCGTTGGATGGTTTTTCCTCATTGCTTTCGGCTGGTTCGTCAGCTTTGGGTTCCTCAGCTTTGGGTTCCTCAGTTGGAGCCTCCGTCTTGGCCTCTTCGCTGGAGGCCTCAGGCTTGGCCTCCTCAGACTCAGCATCCTTCTTCTGCTCCCCATTCTCCACAACTGCCGCCGCCGCCTCTCCACCTTCAGCATCTTTTTTGGCGCTCTTCTTAAAGGAGAAGCCGCTGAGTTTGAATGGTTTCTTAAAGGAGAAGCGCTTTTTGGTTTTGGCAGGCTCAGCGCTCGCAGGGGTAGAACCGTTTTCCTCTGTCTTGGCCGAGTCTTCACCATTCGCAACGGCGGAACTTTCCGCATCCCCCTCTGGAGCGGCCTTGTCAGCGCCTCCTTCCTCTGCCTTTCCCTCCTCTGCTTTTACCTCTCCATCAGCAGAGTGCTTTCCATTGGCCTGCACGTCCTCCGTGGCTGCTTCTGCAGTTGGAGAGGCATTCCCATTGGTTTTGGCATGTCCATTCTCCTGAGGGAATAAGAAAATGCTTCATATTAGCTGTTTTTGCACTGCGTAAAATTTTTTAAGTTTGCATTCATTTCGCAGATTTGCAATCTACCAAAAAGCAAAGGCTTTATGAAAACACTGTTTGGAGTCAATAGGTTCGCCACGTGGGTGAAGTCTCATGCACTTTGTCTGGCTGATGCTGTTGCCATCTAAGTGAAAGCGTTGCAAGATGGACGAGTAGATCCACCAGCGCTGATCAAACTGAGGAGATCATCGTGTTGAGTACATAAGCAGCCTTGCAAGGCTACTTCTAATATTAAAACCATTTCTCATATTAAATATAGGGATTTTGTCTCGTGGCTTATTTGTACATCCATTTTATCAACAAGATGCAATAAAGGCGTGGTGATTTTTTTTACCGAAAATGGCTTTGCCACGACGGAAAAGCTTGATAAAGATACGAAGATAATACCATTTAAATAATACACAAAGAAAAAATCGGAATGCAAATCACTGAATTTCAACGTAATCGTAATTTTATGATTTAAAAAGGAAAAAATAACTCGCTGTTTAAACGCACTTATTACATTGGGGGTCAATTACAATCAACGTGCAAATGAGAAAAATGCCATTTACACCAAATATAACCCATTTGTGCTGATATTTTCAACATTTAAACAATAATATCATCGATATTTAATACAAAGTGTTGATTTTCAGTGAAAAGTGGAGAGTCCCTTTGTTGATCGGCTCATTGTTCATTTGAACCGACTTGATTTTTGGTACTGCACACCCTCAAAACACCACACGCCAGTACAAAGATAATAATTAAAGTTATTACCTGTCCATTTGATTTATTCGCAGTCTCGACTGGTTTTTCGGCAGCAGTCTCCTCTTTTGCTCCGTTTTTGGAGATTTGCGCTCCCATGCTTTCACACGCAACAAAGAATCGCAGATCAAATGAATGAACAAAGAGCGCGAGCTTCTCCCTCAGACGCGTCGCGTGCTCGCTCTCAAGAGCGTCTGTTTTCAAATAAAACCGCGGAAAAGAGATAACGAGAGGTAAAGCTGTGATCAACTGATCAGAGAAAAATATTAAATATAGCACTCTCTCAAATAAAATATATTATTTTGGGATACGAGGTGGGGATAATGAAATTGTTCTCTTTTGATAATGAGATGCGAGATACAACGCCCAAATACCCCTGACGTCACAGAAGAGCTGTGTGAGCCAATAAGGCGCCTCCGTGAAGCCGGGGGGAGGGGTTACACTCACACACTGGAGGGGGAGGAAGCGCGCGCAACCAGCAACTGGTGATTCGGTACAAGCGAATACAGTCACAAAGGGGTGTTTTTCTTGCTATTTTTATTTCTTTTTTGGGCATTCCTTTTATCCCCCCATAAACCTATCTTAAAAAAATCTTTATTTTGGTTTCTCAAAACTGAAGGGAGATAGCAAACATCATAGATTTAAATGGCTGAGTAGGCTATTGGTATTCGCTTTATCTAAATAGACACTTGGTCAACACATAGATTTGTGATCATTCCCGACGCTCCAACCATGGATTCCATTTTTCCAATATAAACATCCAGTCACACATTGCATGCATGATGAATTCATTCTGAGGAATCCTGGTGACCTAGATTCAGTCACAGTTTATTGTCAGCCGAGACGGAGCTATTTTGAATGCACTGAAATACACTTTCACATCACCATACTAACTCACATCACCATGGCAACTGCTCGACATCACAGCAGATTGCTCATAAACAATAATAATATTGTCACTGCGCAATGTTGATATATTTGTTTACGTCTGAACGAGTGAATGATATGTCTGAGCAATCCAGGAAAGAGTAAAGAGAGATTGAGATTGCAGACCATGCAAGCCCTAAACATTCAAATCTATACACCAAACTGGTTTGTGCAAACTCGACATTTATCTTTAAAAATCTTTAAAAAACTATAATGTATGATACAATTAATGTAACAGGACATAAATGAACAGTAGGCTATAAAACAAATTACGTAGGCTAGGGCCCTATAATGCTAATTGAGGCATTTGATCAACAACAATGTTTCAAATGTAAAAACATGAGCATATTTACAATCATTTATAATTTAACCAGTGAAGCATCACAAAAACATCTTGAAAAGTCAGCTCTCTGCATGCCATGAAGTGACTCAACAAAATCTTGATGATTATAAAATGTAGGCTATTCAAATATTTTACAATCTCACTACGGTTGGCCGACGCTGTAGCAACAGATGTTGATTTAGGGCTATGAGTCCTCTGGCAGAGTTTCATTTTCTAAGATTAAAACTAATAATATTGAAATTCAGCCCAAATCTTGATCTGTTTTTGCTGATTACTGATATTGAATACACATCTGTAACAGTGCAAGTCATATGCACACTTTGCCATTTTTTGGGACATGGTATAGAGCTTTTTTGAGGCATGGCAGTATAGGCCTGCCATTGGTTTTTTACATGTACCAAATAATTTACGATGGTGTATAGAGACCAGGGCTAGAAGTCAAGTCAGTTATAAGTCCATTTTAGAACAATCACATACCCATAAAATAATAATTTATTCACTCCCATGTTCTTCTAAACCTGTATGACTTTCTTTGTTCTGTGAAACACAAAGGAAGATGTTGGGGAGAATTGGGAGAATTTAGAACGACAGAGGCTGTCATTCTGTCAAACATCTCCTTTTGTTTTCCACGGAAGAAATAACGCCATACAGGTTTCAAACAACAGTAAATGTTCACATAATTTAAATGTACAGGCAAACAATCCCTTTTAAGTGATTTGAACATTTCCAACATTATTGCCCAAAAGATAGCGTTGAAAGATAGCGTTGAAAGAACACACATTTATGATGGTGTGTAATCATAATGGAATAATGATCTGTAAAAAGAAATCCTGTTGTTTTTATAAAAACATCCTGTGGTTGCCAGAATAATTCTGTAAAAAATACAGTAAAAATGTAAACATATTTACAGAACAACCTGTACATTTTACAGTATAAAACTGTAATTTAGAAACAAGAAAATTGCAATTTAAACCGGTAAATCCAACAACGCACAGTCGCACACTGCTACAAAAAAATCTGTTTTGTACCTTTAACATATACTGACAACCACCATAAAAGTGCCTTTCCACAAGCTGAATTATAAGGTGCACAGAGTCATTCATGCAAACGCAAAACACTCATGGCAACACACATGACACTAAAATAATGCAATAAAAATTCATTAAACAACAGAAGATGTAACCTAAAACCCAAATGTGCTTAACTGATAAAAACTATTAGGAAACATAATTATTTAAACAAAATGCTTGTCACACAGGGAATTGATTGTCAGTTTACCATTTTCACTGTAAATAATAATTCAATGTCTTTTTTACTTAAAAAACTTTTTACTTAAAAAAACTAACAGCATTTTACTGTTTAAATGACCGGATAGATATTTTACAGTTTTATTACGGGAACATCCTACTGTTAACCTATTAACAGTTTTTTTTTTTTCATAGTGGTTTATTCAGTATTTTACAGTTAAAATTACACAACATTTTTTACAGTTCATTTTAATATGCCAATTTTGGGCTTTTCAGTTAAACAATTCATGGAACAGCAAAAAGGTAAAAAGTCAAACCAACCCAGAGAATTATAATTCATAACATGTGATGACTTGCCCCCAGACATTTATGAAAAAATTCCCTTGTCCTGAGAACATTAATTTGCAACCTTTTAGTCAAAGGATTTGCATAAGCATGCATTTAGGATAATCACTTGCAGGTGATATAAACTAAAAAGTTTCACACCCATACCATTTCTAATTTAAAGGGTTAGTTCACCCAAAAATGAAAATTTTGTCATTACTATATCTCACCCTCAGCTTGTTCCAAACCTGTAGCCTGTTTCTTTCTTCTGCTGAACACAAAAGAAGATATTTTGAAGAATGTAGCTAACCAGAAAGGTGACGGCACCCATTAACTTTCCATGGTAGGCTATTTGTTTTCTTACTTTTCTTTCTTAAAACTCATACAGGTTTGGAACAACATAAGGGTGTAGAGTAAATTATGACTTTTTTTTTGTTTTTTGGGTGAACTAACTAACCCTAACGAAGAGTGTCTAGAAAAGCAGGTGTAGCTCACAACATGCATGGATTAGAAAAAAAAGAAGGTATTTTTGAATTAAATTATTGGTGTCACAAGTTGTCGACGATTACAGCGAGATTTGTGGAGCATGACCAGACAGTCCTTGTTTTCCTATAGTAACCACAGCTGTGCCCACGCTGCATAGTAGGAGCATTAAAGGACCATCGAGGAGGCAAAATATGCGCGCGCACGCACGCAGGCGTCTTCTGCGCCAACTGATTGGCTGAAGGTCCTGTCAATCACACCCTCGGTCCCCAGAGAATCCGCCTCAGCAACGCCATCATCTGTTACACTCGGCGACAGGAGCAGCCTGAGCCGTCAGGGCCAATGTTGTTATTTTCATAATTCACCGAGATTTTATTAATATAAAAAGCTGTCTGCAAATGACCTATTTTCGACTCTCTCTTTGCGGTGAAATACAAAACACTTCAGGCGACCCCTCTATTGGTAAGCATTTTTGATGGTCTTGCGCTTTTGATACACTTGGTGCAGCCGATTTGTATCCAATGGATATTGTGGTTAATGGAAATGATGGGAGATGGAGGCATTATAACGCCAGTGCGAGCGGACTAACCATAATGCGTTCGCTTTATCGGCCGCATGGTATTTAGGGATGTTTAAGATCGAGCATGAATGTGTTTTGTGTAGGGATGGTGTGATGCTTTTGCTCCGAAGCGCTCGTCTCTGGCAGCAGGATTGATGCGCAGCAGAAAAAGCCTTACGTGCACAATTGAATGGAAGAATAAGGCCTCTGTCACTAGACAGTAGTCATCTTATGTTAGAATGAAATCATACAATACCCCTTATCAGGGTTTACAATCTCCACACACATTTGTGTGACTTAACGGATTTTATTTTATTTTTTAGGACAATCTGTCTATTGATGTTTTGATGGTTTTATGTCTATTTGAATGTATATGCAGTGGATCTCAGGCACAAAAAAAAAAAAAAAAAATCCCCTCTTATTGCTTGGTTTATGCATGCAGAATTATAAATACAGGGTTACATGGTCATGGAAAACCTGGAAAAATCTGGGTATTTTAAAATAGTCTGGAAAAGTAATAAAGTCAAAAGTCATGGAATTGTATCTAGTGTACATTTGTTTCTCTGGTTTTGCTTTGAGTGCCAGAAAGCCAAATCCTTCATTTACCTGCATTCAAATCTTTTTGAGACTTAAAACTATAGTTGAAATTTCTTAATTTAAAGGATTGGTATCTGAAATATGTAAAAAAAAATATCTGTAAAAAATATTTGCGCAGTAATCATGAACAGAGAAGAGAGAAATTCAACTTTGAGGGAGAGTAAATGATGACAGAATTTTTATTTTTGGGTGAACTATCCCTTTAAGATATGTTCTATGGTTTCATTAAATATTTATGTTGTGATGAGTATAAAAGTATGTTACTTTATGTTTTTTAAGGAATGCAGATAAAACAATAGTTCTTTGAATATATTTGCTATAATAAGGTCTGTGGTTGAGACTGTGGAAGAGAGAAACTTTTCCTTGTTCAACAAAAGCATGAATGGCTCTTACTCCCGATTTCTGTTTTCTTGAGATTAATTAAACGATGTTAAAGCCAGGATAAAATGTGCATTTTATACAGAAATAAGTCCTTAAATGGATAGTTCACCCAAAAATGAAAATTCAGTCATCATTTACTCACCCTCAGATTATTCCAAACCTGTATGAGTTTCTTTCTTCTGTTGAACACAAAAGAAGATATTTTGAAGAATGTTGGTTTTGGTAACCAGACAGTTGACTGCACCCATTGACTTTTTTATAGTATTTTATTTCCATATTATGAAAATCAATGGCTACCATAAATTGACTGGTTACCAAAACCAACATTCTTTAAAATATATATTTTTTAGTTCAACAGAAGAAAGAAACTCATACAGCTTTGGAACAACATAAGGGTAAGTTAATGATGACAAACGTTTCATCTTTGGTGAACTACCCCTTTAAGTATTCCATATAGTTCTTTAGAAGTTGTTTGCAAATACCGATGTTTCTGGCCTTTGTTTTGCCCTCTCAGGCACAGGAGCAAACCGTAGATGTTTTCACCACATCTTTAATTGAATGGAATGCGAATACTCCACTGTGGTAGCCCAGTGCTCGCCTTGGTATGTTTATTGAATGTATGTTTTCATTTACTTTCTGCATGTGTTACATTTCAAATCTTCAGTCAAAACAAGCTACTCATATTAACATTTGTTAATCATGATGTTCTACAGAAAAATAGCTTTGGTACCATACTAGTAGTTAATAGTAAATGTGAATGTGGCATCACATTAATTTACCAAATTATTATGCTATTTGATGCATATAAGATGAAATGAATCACAAATTCAGTGAATGGCTCATTTATTTGTTTTCACTGTAATTATACAGATTTTTTTTGTTGCTGAAAACCAAGATGTCTTGCTGAATCTCTGGTCTATTTAAACTTTATATATATATATATATATATATATACCTTTCAAGTAATTACTTAGGGGTATTTGTTTACTTCCAGTCAGTTGTTCTGAATATGAACCTAAACCTCGTCTTTAATATGGCTCACTTGATTAGATTCAAACCAACAAAATGTCAAACAGAGGTGAACATGTCATTGTGTCTGTTAATGAATGTTCATTTATGCCCTTTTCTTCACCACAAAGAATATAGATAATGGGCTGTGTGCAATGTAAGGACAAAGAGGCAACCAAACTCACGGACGACAGAGAAACTAGTGTCTCACAGCATGCAGGATATCGATATGGGGCTGATCCGACACCTCAGCATTACCCTAGCTTTGGAGTCACCACAATACCCAACTACAACAACTTCCATGCGCCTGTCAGTCAAGGAGTGACTGTGTTTGGTGGAGTGAACTCTTCTTCACACTCAGGAACGTTACGATCCCGGGGTGGAACAGGTAAGATGAGGCACTTTACTGTTCTGGCACTCGGAACAGAAAGTGAAATATCTTCATCATGACATAAAAATCATCTTATTTATTACTCATTCTTAGTTTTATTGTGATTGGTCCATATAATTCCAAATAAAAAATAGTTAAGTTTCTGAAACAACTTTTCTTTTTGGCTGACATCACCAAGGCCTCTAATTTTTCAGCCCCTGGCTCCATTCTGGTATCAAGCATGCACATTTTTTTGTGATCTAATCAAATTTGATGGATAAAATCAGTCCTGGCGCACTGTTTTCTCATTGAATATCTTGTTTTATTTGGAAATATTTAACAGAAGTAAAATGAGTTGTAAAAACCAAATAATGTTGACTGTTTAAAATATATATATTTTTAAATATCCCAACTATTTCTACTTAGGAGCACATTGTTGAGACATTGTAATATTTCTATAAAACTATGTATTGTTTTAGTCTCTGTCAGTATGCTGATGTTATCTGTCACTTACTTTGCAGGAGTAACACTCTTTGTAGCACTTTATGATTATGAGGCAAGGTCAGAGGATGACCTCAGCTTCAGGAAAGGGGAAAAGTTCCAGATTCTTAATAGCACGTGAGTTTATAGAACATTTTATCTATAAAAAATGAAAGACTTTTCATTAGTATACTACGGAACCCTGCACATGACATGCAGTGGAAAAAAAAAAGTATATCGTGGCCACGAATTAACAATTCGTTCCCATGACTTACTAATACGTCAGGACGTTTTACTAATTCATTCCCTCGGTTTAACTAAATCGTGCACACAATATAATTTGTTCCATTTGTTTTGCTAAATCGTGCACACGATATTATAATTTGTTCCGTTGTTTTACTAAATCGTGCGCACAGTATAATAATTTGTTCCCTCGTTTTACTAAATTGTGCGCACAATATAATAATTTGTTAATTTGTTTTAGTTAATTAAAAAACGAGGGAACGAATAAGTACAACGTGGCCACGATTTACTAAAACAAGAAAATTTGTGGTCATGATATATATTTTTGTCCGCATGGCATGTGCAGGGCTCCGTTGGATACTGTTTGAAATATCAACTTAACATGTTTTTCATGTACACTGCTGTTTAAAAGTTTGTGGTTGGCAAGATTTTTTTCCAGTAATCTTTTAGTTTTGTGCTCTGCAAGGCTGCATTTATTCTACAAAAAAGCAGTAAAACTGTAAAATTGTGAAATCAGTAAAAGCAGTACAACTGTTTTCTACTTTAATATATTTTAAAATGTAATTTATTCCTGTGATGCGAATTTTCAGCATCATTACATTATTCAGTGTCACATAATCCTTCAGAAATCATTCTAATATGCTGATTTGATGCTCAAGAATATTTCTTATTAGCATCAATGTTGAAAACAGTTTTTTGCTGCTTAATATTTTTGTTGAAACCGTGATTTTCAAAGGATTTTCTGGATTCTTTGATCAATAGAAAGTTAAAAAGAACAGCATTTATTTGAAATATAAATATTTTGTTACTGTCACGTTTTGGGTTTTGTTTCTTGTTCCTGGTTCTTGTCTGTCATGTGATCCCCTGGTCTAGTCATGTGATCCTGCCATGGTTTCCCTTGTCTGTTGTGTCATGTTGTCATTGGTTCATTGTTTAATTGTTCACAGGTGTTCCTTGTCTAGTGGTTAGTCTTGTGTATTTAAGCCCTTATGGTGCCCTGTGTCATTGTTTTGTGTAACCGCTGTTTGTAAGCCTCATCTCTAGTCTATGTTCTTGTTTCAGGCCCCACAATGCTTTTGGTTTATGTTTGATGGATTTTTTTTTATGTTTTTGGATTGTTTTGTTAATAAACTGCACTTGGGTTCTCAACAAGCTTGCTTCCAGTGGACTATAAACGTTACAGTTACTTTATAAATGTCTGTCACAAAATCTTACCCCGAACCTTTGAACAGTAGCGTTTCTGCACATTACCTCTTGGGAACACAAAAATGGGATTTAAATGTGCATTATAGCACAGCCAGTTTCCTTCTAAATAATTGAAACTTGACCCAGTAGAAATGTATTCATTGTTTATTTGTTCTCTTGCACCTGTTGCCATATATCAGGGAAGGAGACTGGTGGGAGGCCCGCTCTCTCACTACAGGTGGAACAGGATACATACCCAGTAATTATGTGGCTCCAGTGGACTCCATACAGGCAGAAGAGTAAGTTCTGTTTTAGTACCAAAAAAGGCAAAAGTGAAATATAAATAGGAGAACTGTCTAGAAGAACAATGTCTGTTTTTTGCATTACTCTAAGAAGTATTTTCATTGGGGCAAGCACAATAACATAACTTTGTCATGTGGTCATACTGTTAACTAAACTAAACACTATGTATCCCTTTGTAGTTGGTATTTTGGAAAACTAGGCCGTAAAGATGCAGAAAGGCAACTGTTGTCGAATGGAAATCCCAGAGGCACATTCCTTATAAGGGAGAGTGAGACCACAAAAGGTAATTTGCCTTTGCCCAAACCCATTCACAGATACACTACCATTACAAAGTTTATGGTCAGTAAAAAAAAAAAAAATTAATGTGAAAAGAAGTCTCTTATGTTCACCAAGGCTGCATTTATTTGATTAAAAACACAGTAAAAACAGTAATACTCTAAAATATTGTTACAATTTCAAATAACTTATATTTTAATATATTTTAAAATGTTGAAAACAGTTGTGCTACTTAGTATTTTTGTGGAAACTGTGATACATCTTTTCAGAATTCTTTGAAGAATAACAAATTCAAAAGATCAGATTTTTTGTAACTAATTAACTATTAATTGTCTGTGCAGTGACACTTTTGATCAATTTAATGCATCCTTGCTAAACAGATTTTTTTTTTTACTCCAAATATTTGAACTGTAGTGTACTTTAGTTAAAAGTTTTGCAAACCTTACATGTTCTTCTCTGAATTATTAACTGATATTTGAGACTCCTGTGCTATCGTAAAACTAACCTAATTTCCTGTTCACTCATGTTTATTCCAGGAGCGTATTCCTTGTCCATACAGGATTGGGATGAAACTAAGGGTGATCACGTGAAGCATTACAAGATACGCAAGTTAGACAATGGAGGATATTACATCACCACTAGAGCTCAATTTGAAACTCTGCAGCAACTTGTGCATCATTATTCTGGTAAGTCTGTATTAAATTCTAAATCTGAAAATGAATTGATCTTAAATGATAACAAGACAGTACAAATACATGCTATGAATATCTGCATTCAGCCCGGGCTGCAGGACTCTGTTGCCGATTAATAGTCCCGTGCCATAAAGGCATGCCCCGCCTCGCCGACCTGTCCGTCAAAACCAAAGATGTATGGGAGATCCCACGGGAGTCACTTCAGCTCATCAAACGATTGGGGAATGGACAGTTCGGAGAGGTCTGGATGGGTAAGAGATTAGCTTAACCTCATGCCCAATAAAAGAGTTTGATATTCATGCATTACTTATAATTCCAGGGGTATAAATCTAGGCCTGTCAGGGAGGCAGAGAACATTTCATCTTGTCAAAAGAAAGCCAGCTGTCTTGGAAGGATTTATGTGTGGTTCCTTTCAAGGGCTGTGTGACTCACTATGAAATCTCGTCTCTGAATGGCAGGCACTTGGAATGGCAATACTAAAGTGGCAGTGAAGACCTTGAAACCAGGCACAATGTCCCCAGAGTCGTTCCTGGAGGAGGCTCAGATAATGAAGAAACTGAGGCATGACAAGCTAGTGCAGCTGTATGCAGTCGTCTCTGAAGAACCCATCTACATTGTGACAGAATATATGAGCAAAGGTAGGATTTTGCAAACAGAAGTGCCAAATTAAGGCATCACAGTTTCCACAAATATATTAAGCGGCAACTGTTTTCAACATTGACCATAGTAAGATATGTTTCTTGAGAACCAAATCAGCATACTAGAATGATTTCTGAAGTGACACTGAAGACTGAAGTAATGGCTACATTACGTTTTAAAATATATTCAAATAGAAAATAAGTATTATATATGAAGACTTCTGGTGCAAAAGCCGATATTAAGTGAATGCGCTCCACACATAGTATACATTCATTAAATACTTTCACTTCAAACCCGCTAAATCCCAGCCCATTCAGTAATTCTGGTTCGTTAGCAGAAACCTAAACGCCACTTCCCTTTGCCAGCAAAATCCTCTACGTTTTCAGAACCAATCAGGAGACGCGAATCGAATCATATGATTTCAAAATGAATGACGACGGCGTGCGTATGAGCCAGCTTTCAATTATGGACCTGCAAGTTTTATCCTGTTTAAAGAGATTTTTAATTAAACAAGATGTTTAGAAGTAGTTTATACTAGAAATGTACATTTTATGACAATGGATCGTTTACATTTTGACTAATATCAGTTTAATGTTTACTGACTTAATGCACTTCTTGTTATTTATTTATTCTTTTTTATTTTAATGCTTCATCTTTTTATATTAATTTTTTTTTAAATGTAATATTGTATATATATATTATATTATATATTTTTTATTTTAAGCATAGTGTATATGGTGTAGTTATTGTATAACGTCTTCTGTTTGTTGTTATCCACTAAAGTGTGCTGTCATTTGTGTCATTATGGTTATACTGTGTAAATTATTTTTTGGACTATATTTTTGAGCCTTTTACCTTTATTCAGAAAGGACAGTGAAGAGGGACTGGAGAAAGATAGGGTGGGATCGAGAAACGACCGCGGGTCACTTTCGAACCTGGGTCCCCTGTGAGCACTTGGATACGAAATAGGATACGAACGTGGCAGTAGTGATTTTGCAACTCTTTACTATGACTTGTCCAAAGAGGTGACCTTAGAGGTTTTTGAAACAAAAGCACACATGGACTTTGCTTGTTTTTGCAGTAAAAGACAATCAAATTTGTTAAATATCATAAATAAGTGACATTTTTGAAAATAAGGCTTTACAATAACGGACTAATAACCTTTTATTGCCATTAAAGTGAAATTACTGAATGAAAAGCCTGATAAAAATGCTCATTTAAAAGAAAAATATCAGAAGGTTTTTGCATCTGAAGTCTTCTTTATATATAAATATAAAGAAGTTTTGTTTCGTTTGAAGTTGAAGGTTTGTTCACACATATTTTGATGGTCTTTCAGGAAGTCTGCTGGATTTCTTGAAGGATGGTGAAGGACGTGGGCTTAAATTGCCAAATTTAGTTGACATGGCCGCTCAGGTTTGTAAAATGTTTTGATACCCATAATCATTAAAGGTATCTGGTATCAGTAAGCCCTTACCTAACCCCAGGACATTTAAATATTCCATTGCTTGCACACTCCTCTTCTAGGTTGCTGCAGGCATGGCTTACATTGAAAGGATGAACTACATCCACAGAGATCTCCGGTCTGCCAATATACTTGTTGGTGATAGCTTAGTGTGCAAGATTGCAGATTTTGGACTGGCCAGACTAATAGAGGACAATGAATACACAGCACGACAAGGTGAGGTATACGATTCCAAATCAGGCTTAGCTATTCTATCTTTATAGACTTCGTTAACCCTCTATGGTTTCCTTCTCTTTACACTTCACACTGACCATTCAGAAAAAAGTACAACAAACTGCATTTTTGGACTGACTGGATCAGAGTTTATAAAAAACATTAATATGCTGTTTTTTAGTCATACGATACTCAGTTTTCTCTCCAAGATGGGAAAGTGCTTTTTTAATGCGAACATTTTTCCTTCTTCACCTGGATTTTTTTGTTCACAGATCACAGCCTAACATAGTTTTACAACATAGTTTTACAGTTAACTGAAAAAATATTAATGTTACCATATGGCAAATGTTTAAATAATCCATTTACTCACTGGGCGTTTTTTTTATAAATATTGGCGTCAGTATTACTATGGTTGTTTATTTATACATTGGAAATGTATATAGCAATACAATAGTTTTTATGCATAGAAACAAGTATTTCTGTTTCATTTGTTCACTAAAACATAGAATTAATATACTGTATATATATTTAAATAATTTGTTTGTAGGGGTTCCAAATGAATAAATGTATGAATTCATGAGAGAATTTTTTTATTATTATTTTTTTTACCATGGTTTGTTCCCATGTAGGAACATTTTCAGCATGGCAACATCTCAAAAGTAATTAAGATGACGTTGCCATTTAGGTCATATAATATATGACTGAGCAGTGTTTTATCTACTAATGTTTGTTTCCTTATGCACGTATTCAACAGAGTTAAATCTGCAATTTCCCTGGGAACATTGCCCAGTTCACAAGTAGGCCACATTTCGAGATCAGATACATAATTTCAGTGTTCCGTTGTAGGTGCCAAGTTCCCAATCAAGTGGACGGCTCCAGAGGCAGCACTCTATGGAAGGTTTACTATCAAGTCAGATGTGTGGTCGTTTGGAATACTACTCACAGAGCTGGTCACCAAAGGACGCGTACCCTATCCAGGTGAGATCTGGTGGTGGAAGGAACATTCTTAAATCATTAACACTGAAAGTAACTGACAAAAATGACCTGAATTCATAAATTTTCATTGAAAGTTTGCCATTTGATGCAAGACAAATTCTTAATGTGATAATTTACTAAAAAAATGTAATTCTGTCAAACTCACACACATGTCATTCCAAACCTGTATGAACCCAAAATAAGATATTTTTAAAAAAATGTCTCAATGTCTCCTTAGTTATTTACTAACTTTTCTCAATCCAAATGAATCCAATCTGATTCTGAAAGTTCTCTTTATATGAACCCTACATTTTGTCATATTCATATATTCGTTTACATGTATTCTGAACAAAACTTCAGTGCATGCGCATTGCCCAGTCGCCCCGTTCAGAACAATAACGGCACCGTGATAATGTCACTGGATCTACCATGACTCCATGAGTATGATTTTTTTGCCTTGATGACATACCTAAAAAGAATACTGACATATAGACATTTTTAAATCAAATATTTAGTCTCCTCCACTGACCAGTTCACAAGACCTAAATAAACGTTAATGCCCGTTTATAATATGTAAAATGTTTGTAAACCTCAGAGATCTTATTATAAAATGGCTATGGTAAACATATGCAGTACTGCGAAAAAAGTATTTTTGAATCCGATTGAGAAAATATTTGAGTTCACGCGTTTACATGCTTATTTTTGAGCAAATTCTTTAAGGTCTCACTCTTTTAATCCGATTGAAATTTTATTCAGATAAAGCTCATTCGGATCAATGAAGGTGTTTACCGAAGCCAAAATATCCCAGTAACGGTCGTTGAGGTGGAGCCGCGGTATAAAGGTCCCGCTCTAGCAGACTGAATCGTAAGCACAGCTGTCAATCATGACGTGACACCCTGTTTTTATAGCATTAAATAAATAACCGAAACCAAACTTATTAGAAAAATGACCACTTGAACATATGTCTGCGTGATAAGAACTACCTAAAATGACAGAAACCATCTTTGGGGGAAAAATTATTTGAAGTGTAATTGGATTTTTCAGTGTGGCTCGCATCCCATTCAATTACATGGAGAGGGAAGGGTTTATAACCTATACTGCAGCCAGGCACCAGGGGGCGATTGAAATGCTTTGGCTTCACTTTTCAGGACACACTTGTTTACATAAAGCATTTGAGCCAATTGAGCCATCATTCTGATTACTAACGGATTATTTGGGTGCATGCAAACGTTGGACCCCATAGGCTTGCATTGTATGGACAAAAACAGTTTAAACATTCCAAATATCTTCTTTGGTGTTCCACAGAAGATATAAAGTTTGGAATGTTTTTGGGTCAACTATCTATCTTTAAAAGACTGAATTAATGAATGAAGTAAAACACAGCATCATAAAGGAATTTATTTTCCCAGTTAAAGAGCACATGCTTTGCATTTGTCCCTCAGGCATGAACAACCGGGAAGTCTTGGAGCAAGTAGAGCGTGGTTACAGGATGCCCTGCCCCCAGGACTGTCCCAGCTCCCTGCATGAGCTCATGCTCCAATGCTGGAAAAGGGACCCCGAGGAGCGGCCCACCTTTGAGTATCTGCAAGCCTTCCTGGAGGATTACTTCACTGCCACTGAACCACAGTACCAACCCGGGGACAACCTCTAAACGCATTGCTCCAGAGTACAGAGAGTGCCACAAAAGACTGCCCTTCAAAAGACTGATCGAAAGAGCGTTTGATAAGAAAAGCTTCCAGGTTTTGTGCCATCTCAATGACCCAATATCTGACACAATCCATCTTCCATCGAACAAAGGACATGCAATCGCATTATATCTGTCAGTAAAGCCAAAAATAGTGTTCTGTGGAGAGACATCAGTCATGAATAATGATAAGAATGGCTTGTTTGTATGTAGTGTAAATAGTGTGTTTAGTTTTCCCTTGTATTTGGCTTGTTTTATTACTTTTTATAATGCTGTTTTGCGTTCTTATCCAGGCCGAGAAAGAATCGACGCTGTGAGGAAAGCTTGAACAACAGAGGCGGCATCAAACATTTTAAAATTTACAATGATTCTGGAAATCATTCTTAGACGCTTCCAGTGGGGTGTTGAACAGCCTCTTTTAAATATTAAAGGAAATCTGTCAATTGTATATTAAATCAACTGTACGTGTCAAAACACTCCCGTTTTGCATAGGTAGCATTTCTGACACATTCTAGTGACTTTCACAGAGGGTAATGATGTCCGCACTGGTTTTAGTGAGTTTGCTGGGCCTAATTATTTTGCACCTGCTTTTAGCAAGCGCTCAGTGTCTCTATTTTGTTTTCTGCTTCTTAGAATGAGTGCATTTTCTATTTAGTCACTTTGGATTAACAATAGAGCAATGTATGTATCAGAATAGTATGAGACCAAGTGGGCATTATGCTTGACCATACTGGCATCTTTCCTGCAAATAAGATAAAATGACTGCTAACATCCTTACTGTTGTAAGAGAAAATAAAAGGAGTCCGTTAAATGTATCTCACAATATCATGCATTATAAAATAACACTACTAAATACGTAGAGAAATATTATAAAATGGTAGAATTCCACTCGAGATAACTCATTGCTGGTCTGCCTTGTTTTTGCCCATCATTTTGTCCTTCATGATAAAATGATGCGTATGTCTGAATATTCATTATTGGGTCATTCTTGACTTTTTTTGTCACATTTAAGAAGGGACAGACCTCTCGGTAAACATACTTACTGTAAGGCAACGATACTTTCACATTCTCATTGCGGAAATATCGGGATGAGCCATTTTCCAAGAGCAGTTATTCACCTACTGTTCAAAAACTATTCCGTGTTGATTTCAGCCAATATTTTGGAAAGAATAATGTGTTCAAATGAGGGCTGCTTTTATCAGGGCCTATGATTGAAATTATGTACTGCATTTGTGTTAAAATCCAACCTTATAATTTTCACATTTATTTTTGTACCATCTATATTTGGATTAATTCATAAATATTGTGTTTATTTAATTTCTTTGTTTCATTTATGCACAAACATTTTTAGAATAAAGTGTCATTCAAATCCATTTCTCCTTTCATTTTTTTTCACCTGACATCCAATTTTAAATTGAATATCTTTTTTTGTTAAGATTGGGAGGTGATTCTCTAGATTTAAAACATTTATCACAATTTTAAACTTTTAGATTTAACATTTATGTGAAAAAGTGGTCATATTGATATTTTTTATTTATATTGATGCATTAACACATTTTAGATGATAAAACAGTAAATATAATGTTAACGTATTTGGACACTTTCTGGCTGTCATGGCCACTTTGCTTGACATTTTATTATTTAATATTATAAGTTTATGTTAATTACATAAACTCTTATCATTCAAAAATGTCGGGTTTGTAAGATTTTTTATAGTTTTTGAAAGAAGTAGGCCTATCTTATGCTCAACAAGGCTGCATTTACTCCCAAAAAAAAGCAGTAAAAACAGTAATAGCCTACTGTGAAATATTATTATGCCTTTACGTGCTGTCGGAATTATCGTAAATACTAGTTTCCTAATTAAAAAAATTGGACATGAACCCTCTCAAGTCAAAATTGGAATGCGATGAGCTCGTAATTACGACATCAGAAGTGGGAAGTAGGCAATTTCCAATACCAGGTGATGGCAGCATTAGTCTTTAGTGTCACATGATCCTTCAGAAATCATTAAGTGCTCAATAAACATTTATTATTATAAGTGTTGAAAACAGTTGTGCTGCTTAATATGTTTGTGGAAACTGTTATTAAGCTCAAAAGAACCACATTTACTTTAAATAGATTTTTATTTTTACTTTGAAAAAGTCACTTTTGATCAATGAGGCCTAAATGCATCCTTGCTGAATAAAAATATATATATATATTTTTTTACTTACCCCAAACTGTTAATCAGTAAAGTACATTTTAAAATGTCTGTATCAAATCAATTAAACAATTGTATGTTTGCAGTATTGCTGCAGCCTTCAGCAATGCAATTCTGCAATTCCCTTCATGCCCAGCGGAGGGGCACTGGATTCCAGACAAAACATGTCGATCCGTGCCACAGATCCACAGATCCACAGATCCACATCTCAACTAGTTTGTTCCCTAGTTAAAAATAGGAGTAATGCTTCTATATTTCAGATCTGTTATACGAAATCACCAATGAAACCGTATGCAGTGAGATTTAAATAAAGAGTGCTAATTGGAAGCATGAATAATTTTGAATAAAATGTAATATCCCAATACCATTTAGTCTAAATTAAATAAACATTTCAGTTTAGAAACAAATTATTGGGTAAATTACTGTAGAGATGCAATATTACATACTATGCAGCAATGTCATTGATGGCACATGCATTAAATGAATGACATGATGTTAAATACCAAAAACCAATGACTTTACAGTCTGTGAACATGCAACTGTCAACTTTTCTTTTGCTCCCAGTAGTTCACACCCCCTACCGCCTAAAAAGGCAAGAGAGAGTGCAACTGGTAAACCCTACACTGTCTAAGAATAAACCAGGCTTGCAATGGATAAGGTTACCTTGAAGCACCCCAGCACTTTTCCCGTCCCACACCCATGTGAGGCACCAATAACATGGGCTAAATTATTAGCCCCCTGCCTGAGCCTGAACTCCCCTGTTTACGTCCCTGTCCTAACATCCCATTCTCCCACAGCCATGATCCCAAATCCGGCACTTTGAAAACCCTCATCCCACTTTTCTCACAAGATTGTGAGGTTTCACCCCTGGATTGGATGGGGTCGACAAAGAGGAACATCATTCAATGAGTTGGATTTAACATCAACTGGGTGAAACCGGCAAAATAAGATTACACAAGCAAAATCAAAGGACATTCAGCCGAAGAACCACCAGAACTACACCACCATGGCTCAGGCAACTAAAGGTACTGCAGGTTTTGTACTCATGATCTCTTGCATTAGAATGACAGACAGAGCTTAACAAATAAAAATACACAAAAATACATAATTATAATATTTCATAATAATAAAACACTGAACCACAATAAATGCTGTTGTGATGATATAAAACTGAACTAACAGCTCAGTTGATCTTAATGTTTTGATTTTAATCTGTTGAAACAAATATGCTGTACTCATCGCATTTATGTAGCCAGAACATTTTCAAGACTAATACAGAGAAGTCTATAATTAACTCAAATTTATTAATATCCTTTGAAGTGTGTAGATTTATTTAGATTTATGAACTTTATTGGTGATTTAAAAAATAGGTCTCGTGCAGAGCAGTGCTTAAACAAACGCACATTCACCACCGTTCAAAGGTTTTATATTTATAGATATCTTTTTTTTAAAGAAATTAATACAATTTATTCAGCAAGGATGCTTTAAATTGATCAAAAGTGACAGTAAGGACATATTTAATACCATTCAATATTTCTATTTCAAATAAATGCTGTTCTTTCAAACTTTCTATTTATCAAAGAAATCCTAAAAAAAAAAACATTCATAACATAATTCCTCTAAAATATTAAGCAGCACAACTGTTCGCAACATTGATAATAATAAGAAATGTTTCTTGAGCAGAAAATCTGCATATTAGCATGATTTCTGAAGGATCATGTGACACTAAGGTCTGGATCATGATGCTGAACAGTCATTTAATAATATTTCACAATATTACTGATTTTATTGTATTTTTGATACTGATTTTATTGTATTTTTGATCAAATTAATACAGCCTTGGTGAGCGTAAAGACTTCTTTCAAAAATCATACTGACCCTAAACTTACTTGTGTCATATTTTGGTGAATCTAGCAAACATGGTTGATATTTGCAATGGCAATTACAATATTAAGACTTTTGGTTATATAGTTTCTTTGTTTAGTTCATGATGTCATTAAACTCAAGCAGCAGGGAGAAAATAACACAAGATGGAGAAGTGTCTAGACTGCACTTTAGAGAACAGCTGCTACAATTATCAGTTCGTCATGATGGATCTTTATTTATATAGAAATTAAAAAAGGCCAAGACATAGTCAATAGAATTGATACCATAGGCATTTAGCAAACAACCACGAAACATTTTCTCCTGTGTGACCTTCAGGAGCAAGTATTTCCAACGTTTGCTATATAGACCATGGTATATGTGTAAAATTCATGCATGTGACTCCAGGTCCAGTGAAGTCCACCCCTCCCACTGCTGTAGATGCTCCAGTGCATCCAGCCTCTCTTACGGCCCGGAGCCATGGAGTTTTACAAATCATGAATCGCCCGGCACAATGGGTTGTCATCCTCACACTTCTGACCTCTTGGTCAATAGCAGGTGTTGTCATGTTCGACTTTGTCAGTGACGATCAGATTGCAAGTGAGTTTTAAATAATTTTCACAGTTCCTATTTTATTTACCTGTGCTGGTTTTTGATTTGTTGGCTTCACTCTAAACTGTTTTCCTAGGCATCCAGGATTTTGGTTCTGACCCAGTGCTAGCAGTGAACAAGGCCATTGAAGGCATTGAAAACAAGATATACCACATGAATGATATGTTTAATGATGCTCATGGTATGATTTCATAGTGCACAACTCTTTTAGCTATAATTTTCAGATTTTTAAATTTGGTAATTTGTTACTGAAGGAATGGTGCCTATTCCTTTCAGTGCAATTACAATGGCTAAAGCTTTCAGTCCTCAACAAAAGGTGCAAAACAATTAAAGCTCATCATACAAGTAGTCTAAATGACTAGCGTGCTATATTTGTGGAAAACAGGCCGTCATTATTTACACGTAGCTTAATCTTAAACACGAGCATCAGATCAATCGGAATCGCGAACGATTCAGACCGTTTCAACCGATTCGCTAAAAAATATTCAACTCAAAAGAATGATTCATTCATGAAGCGGCCTTGGGCCTTGTCACGTGAACGCACCAATGAATTAGAGCGAAATGAAGCGGAAGCCAGACAATAATGATTTTGATTTTGATCTCTTCCTCACACAAAAATATAATTTGTCTTGAAATATAACGCGGGAGTCATATTGACCACTTTTAAAAAAAAATACTTTTATGATGCTTGTTTGAAAGCCAATTTCATTGTAATTGCATGTAAACTTGCGAGTAAACTTGTTTCGTCGAACAATAAAATCTGGTTTTGGAGACATGAGGTGAGTAAATAATGACATTTTTTACCTTTGATAAATATTATTTGTTGATGTTTTTAAAAATTGATTTTTTTATGCCATTCTCTCTTCTCTTTTATTTGGAATACAGAGTACATCACAGAAATAGTATTCAATCCGAAGAAAGCTATTCATTTAGCGGCTGATTCATCTGTTTCTTATCTGACAGGAATATTTAGTTCCGATGGTATGTAAATATATTCATTTATGGCCTTTAAAAAAATATTCATAAGCAGTTTAAAACACTATTTATTTAGCATAGGCTTATGTTATATTTAATATGTTGTTTTCCTTACAGGAGATACAGTTATCACTGAAACAGTGAAATATAGTGGCACTGTATTGGATGAGGTTACAGAATGGATCAGATCGCCAGTGGGCTACTTATTCCACTTATTTGAAGGTACTTGCATTACTGATCATGCAATATGTGGCCGTTGTTGTTTTTGAAGCTGACATGCAATCAGACTCGTGTACATGTGTACATATTGCAATAACTCAAGAACATGGTAAAAATAAATTATTAGTTATATTTGAGCATGCCAGATGCACCATTCATTGTCTGTTTAATGCTTTCCATGCTGCATAGACATCCTGGATATATTGCTTGCTCCAGTGGATATGGTCAGTCGAGCTGTTGTGCAAATTTTAAGTTGGATCAAGACCATTACACATTATCTTTCAACCATGTTTGGGGGCACTGAAGGTACGGCAAAGCACCAACATTGATTCTTCTCATAATTTCATATAGCCTATACACTCATCTATATCATCTAAGGTGCATCTTGTCAATATTCCAGTGTGAATTCCCAAAATAAGCACTGATCCTCAGCATTTGGTCGGATTGTTTTTTTTATCAGGGGATACAGGCATCCCTGAAACAGTGAAACTTGGTGGCACTGTATTAGATGAGGTTACAGAATGGATCAGATCCCCAGTGGACTACTTATTCCACTTTTTTGAAGGTACCTACATTGGTGGTGTTGTTCTGAGGGCTGACATGCAATCAGAACCTCATGATGTGCTCTAACTCAGTACATGTTTCAATCAACATTTGAAATTGCCACTGATTCCATGCATAAAGAAATAATTAGTCATATTTGAGCGTTTCAATGAACTATGATTTCAGCTGCTCATGCCAGAGTCACTGATTTCTGTTTAATGCTTTCCATGCTGCATAGACGTCTTGGATGTAGTGATCATTTATCCAACAGACATGGCGAGTGAAGCAGTTCTGCAAGTTTTAAGTTGGATCAGGACCATTTTTTCAACCATATTCGGAAACCTTGAAGGTATTCTCACATTATTTTAGACATTTAGTGATATAATCTACTCTACTGTTCGAAAGTTTGGGGTCAGTAAGATATTTTTTTATTTGCATAAGCTGCACAAATGTTTTCAACTGTGATAATAAATCAGAAAGATAAATAAAAAAGTTTATTGAGCAGCAAATCAGCATATTAGAATGATTTCTGACACTGAAGACTGGAGTAATGATTCACAGAAATAAATTACATTTTAAAGGGGTCATCGGATGCCCATTTTCAACAAAAGTTTGTAACATACTTTGGTTAAAATTCCTCAATGGTTGTGTAAAACAACACCCTTTTTACCTCCTCAAAAACAGCTCACATTGACCCGTTTCGGTGCATGTCTCTTTAAATGATAATGAGCAACTTGCACACTCCACCCCTCTCTTCCATGGGGTTTGTCACACAAGACACATAAAGTTCTGCCTTGGCAGACAATATACAAATGGCTGAGGGCAGAAATATGCTAATACGGGACAGTCCGTCAGTGGTCGTGGGCAGAGCATGAGCAATATGACATCCTTACCTTACCTATATTGCTTAGAAAATCCAAACGGCTTGATTATTGAGAGTGTTTAGGCTTTTTGAGGATTAAAAAAAAAGGAGTGAATGGATTTTTTTCATCGTATGGTGGTTGTGTCCACACACTGCAAAGACACATTTATATGCAAACACCATATAAAAGTGAATTTTGCATCCGATGACCCCTTTAAAATATACAAAAATTGTAAATTAAAATTGTAATAATATTTCGCAATATTACAGTTTTTACTGTATTATTATTATTTGTTTTTTTAATAAATGCAGTCTTGGTGAGCATAAAATACTTTTTCTAAAATTCTTTCTGACCCCAAACATTTGAATGGTAGTGCACCTTTTCAATATTTCAGCTTGGTTTCCCAAAATGAGCACTGATCCCACGGAACTGGCTGGAATTGTTGTAGAGGAGGCCACAGACCTAAAGACTACTGTCTCTAATTACCTCTCCAGTCTCTTAGCTGGGGACGAAGGTATTGTTCATTTATCAGCTGAAAACATTTGATCTGTGTTTTTTGCCAGCACAATTTTAATTTGTGTTATATTATGTCTTTTCCCCAGGTGGTATTTCTGACATTAGCTTTGATCCCATGAAAGTTGTCACAGACACTGTTGAGGAGTTTACTGACAGGAGGGATATGTTGCTGGCCTACCTCTCAAACATGCTCATGGAAGACAAAGGTATCCATATTATTAAGTATATCACAATTCTATGCTTGTATCTAAAAAATACAGTTCTCTTTAAATATCCCTATTGTTCTCTGTTTCAGATGAAACACCACAAGTAATAAGACGAAAAGGTTTGTGTCAGTATTTATTCACTTGTTGCTGCACTATGAAACTTCGGCCTCTCTATTGCCATCTGTTCTGTTGAAACATAAAGTTGCATGTTGCATTACAAGGTTTCTTTGCTTTGACAATGGGTGAGTTCCCAGATGTCAACAAGACTTGCTGTTTAAAATAATAATAATAATTTTTTTTAAAGTATATATATATATATATATATATTTTTTTTTTTTAAAACTAACAATATTACTAAATCTTCTCCAGGAGAATTTCTGCCACCTATGGAAAAAGGTTAGTAACTGCACATTCTTTCATTTACATAAAAGCTATAGATTAACACATAGCTGCCAACTCTCACGCATTGGCCGTGAGACACCCGCATTTGATTGGTTTCACACGCTCACACGCCACACTCCCGATTTCTCACGCTGAAGTGTCAACCCGGGCGGTCAAATGCCTGGAAGATGAGTTTATCTATATATCTACCTGTTGAGCCACTCGTGATCGACTAGTTATACCGCAAATTCGTTAAAAATCTCCCGTTATCTAGAGCGAGCGTGCATGCGAGACAGAGATTGTGCTCCAAACCGCGTAGAGCGAGCGAGAGACCTTGCGCGAGCGAGACCCCCCCCCCCCCCCCCGTCAACAAATCTCACTCGTCTCTACCCCCCCCCCCCCCGTCAACAAATCTCACGCCGAGCAAAACTCAAAAGTTGGCAAGTATGTTAACACCAAAACTAACTTTAGTACTCAAACCTGATCACTACTAAAACAGCATTGAAAAACTTAATAAACAGGACTTTTAACTTTGAAAGGAACGAGAGCATGTGAAAAGGTGTTTTTTATGTAACATATGCAAGATCTTGAATTGACTAAAATGATATAGTTTCCTGACTCGTCGTCATCCCATATACATTCATCTTTATGCAGAGTTTTGTTGTGTCTTACCATGTTTCCGTCCATTTAGAAAACAGTGTCATAGGTTATGTAATATGGCGCATGAAAAGGTCCTGCATGACTGCATACAGGGATGATTGTCATTTATATCTTCTGTCTGTACTATAGTGTGAATGTTAATGTCCTGCACTCTCTCTCACACAGTACTTCATATTATGTACTTTATATTATGTAAAAGTGCTTGCATTTACTTTCTCAAGAATGTTTTAAAAGGATGTGCATGACATATTTACCAAATACAAAAATAAAAAGTTTTATGTCACATGCATTTCTTGCTGTTTGATTTCCTGCCCCCTTCTTGCGGTGTAGTGCGACGTCTAACCTTCTGTGATACATTCGTCAGTTGATATTCACAAACATAAAGCATGTAGGAGTTCTTACCACCAGAGGTATGGCACATGTTGCAAGAATATTGTGACACTCACAATATTAATGCCCTGAGATTTTAAGCTGAGGTTGTGGAAAGAAAGAATTTTCATTTGGAGTCGCTGCGCTGAACTCCTGAACTGAAAAAAAGGTATACCTTGAATGCAATGCAAGTCACGTTTGATAAAAGCGTCTAAAAAATGCATAAATCTAAATCTTAAAAAGAGTCACAAAATATAAGTATTGAGTTTTGAAGAACGGCTAAAAATGATTCAACTGAAGTTTTTTGTCAGGGTGCAACATGTGCATACTGTTACAGTCATCTATGTGATGTCGTGAGTGTAACCAAATTTCCAATCAGAACAACCTGTAATGTCTCGTACGTAAATTGCTAAATGTGTTTTTATCTGCAAATTGAGCTCAATTCTGTCATAAACCTGAATTGAAAAATAACTTCATGAAACAGTTGCAGAAATACTAGGCAAAAAACAGGACCCTACCTATGCTGCCTACATTGCTATGAGATCCGCAGTGAAGGAGACGGACAGCACTAAACAGGAAATAAAAGAGGTTGAGGAGGAACATGGTGAGGTGGAAGCTGCTGAAGATAAAACTGAAAAAGCTCAAGCTATCTTGGACGTTACCGAGGAGGAAGAAACGGCTGTGGACCACACTGATATCACAGTAGAACTCGCTGAAATGTCCTCCGATGTCACGGAGGAGGGAAAAACTACCGGAACAGTTGAAGATATTGCAGATGTTACAGACGAGAAACCTTCTTATATGCCCGATGTCATAGATGAGGAAACACAATCGGAAAAGATTGAAGATTTTTCTGATTTTGCTGCGGATGAATCAACCGAAATAACCTCTGATGCTTTAGATGTGAAGGACAGTGACGATATTTCAGATGTTGTTACAGAGGAGGAAGAAGTTACTGAAATGGTTGAAGATATTGCAGATGTTACAGAGGTGGAACCTTCTGATATGCCAGATGTCATAGATGAGGAAACAGCAACTGAAAAGATTGAAGATATCTCTGATTTTGCAGAGGATGAATCAACTGAAATTAGCTCTGATGCTACAGATGTGAAAGACCTTGATGATACCTCAGATGTGAAAGACCTTGACCATACCTCAGATGTGAAAGACCTTGATGATACCTCAGATGTGAAAGACCTTGACCATACCTCAGGTGTTACAGATGTGAAAGACCTTGATGAGACCTCAGATGTTACAGATGTGAAAGACCTTGATGATACCTCAGGTGTTACAGATGTGAAAGACCTTGATGATACCTCAGATGTTACAGATGTGAAAGACCTTGATGATACCTCAGATGTTGTTACAGTGGAGGAAGAATTTACTGAAACAGTTGAAGATATTGGAGATGTTACAGAGGTGGAACCTTCTGATATCCCAGATGTCATAGATGAGGAAACAGCAACTGAAAAGATTAAAGATACCTCTGATTTTGCAGAGGATGAATCAACTGAAATAACCTCTGATGCTACAAATGTGACAAAAGACATTGATGATTCCTCAGATAATGCAGTTGCAGAGGAGAAAGAAACCACTAAAGAACCAGCAATCAAAATAGCAGAAGATTGTTCCGATGTTACAAACAAAATTGAATCAGATAATACAGATGACAAGGAAGTTTATGATGTCCCCAGTGTTACAGAGGAGGATGAAGAACCTGAAATGGTTAAAGATACTTCTGATCTCATAGATGAGGAAGAAGAACCTGAAACAGTTGAAGAAATCATCATTATCACAGATGAAAAAGAGGCACAAGAAGATCAGCCACCTGAATTGGCTGAAGCTACTCCAGATACCATAAGTTTGAAGGAAAATGAGGAAACGGCAGAACTTGATGATCATGACAAAGTCAAAAGTAAGGTTGGTTTAGAAGTGGAAGCCAAGGAGGATGATGCTGAAAAGAGTACAAAGGACCTAGAGAATGAGGTAGATAAAGATGAGGTTGAGGTTTTAAAGGAGGAGATTGAAGAGTCTGATCAAACGATCACTGCTGGTGAAGATGACCATGATGACGAAGAGGAGCTTGTCCTTCTTACTGTCCAACACGATGTCACTAGCAGAGATGATGAAAATAACAATAACAATGACAGGAAGAGAGATGTCATCAAAAGAGAAAAACCTGAAAGTCATTCCATTGCAACAGACGACCAAGAAGCACACAAGGATCTTCATGAAGAGTCTGACAAAGGTATCAAACAATTTTTTATAATTAACAAATAGGAAAAAGTGATAGTTGATAGGTGGCAACCAATATCTCAATAGATGACCTTAAAAACTAAGTTTAAATCACTTACCGTGGGAAAATTAATCCCTAAAATAAACAGGATGTTCATTATTATTATTTTGTTTGAAATGAAAATTCATACTCACCCTCAAGTTGTTCCAAACCTGTATGAATTTATTTATTCTGCTGAACACAAAGGAAGATATTTTGAAGAATGTCGGTAACCAGACAGTTGACAGTAGCAATTGACTTACATAGTATTTTTTATTTCCCCATAAAGTCAATGGGGCCCATCTACTGTTTGGTTACCCATATTCTTCAAAATATATTTCTTTGTGTTCAGTAGAAAAAAGAAACTCATACAGGTTTGGAACAAATCGAGGATGAGTAAATGATGACAGAATTTTCAGTCGTGTGTGAACTATCCTTTTAAGATAATTGAAAAGTCATCAAAAGCACCAAATTTACAACAGTTCTGGTCCAATAATTTGACTGGCCAAGCAGTGTTTGAATTCTTGTTTGAATTCTATGGTTCACATCATTGTAACTAAACTATTTTTGTTGGCCATACACATAATGCATCTAAAAATATTAATTACTGTACTCTTTTCTGTGTGTTTTCTTGAACACAACAGTTGCAAACTATGTCTGTATTTTGCAGTGATATTCAGTGCAATAGCACTCTCTTGACTTTGATATTGCATATATTCTGAAAAACACTGTGTTATCTCTAGTATCTTACAATTTTGACTGAGAAGAACAACAAATTGATGGATGAAGATGAAGTTGCATTCACTGTTGCTTTTAGTTCACCTCTGTTTCTGGAAAGATACTTAAAAGAGGAACAACCTGCTGGAGGATTCACTAACAGGCTCCGTTGTTGTAATGTACATGATAGATAGATAGATAGATAGATAGATAGATAGATAGATAGATAGATAGATAGATAGATAGATAGATAGATAGATAGATAGATAGATAGATAGATAGATAGATAGATAGATAGATAGATAGATAGATAGATAGATTGATTGATTGATAGATAGATCAAATTATTAGGAAAAATGAAAACCATCCTTTTTTTTGCACTGATTTGTAAAGAATTACAGTCTTGTTTATTAAGTATTGTGTAGAATATATTTTTGTATTAAAGTTGATTAAAGCACAAAAACGCAACTATAACAAAAAAAACTGCATATAATTATTGCAAAGCCGTTTATTTTGCTTACCTAAATGGTTCCATTAAGAGAAATAATGATTTAACTCATCCATTATACGTTATTCATCTAACGCAATAACATGGCTGACAACCACTTTGCTGCTTTCAAGTACTATTAATGTTGACACACTTACAGTGCACTAATTCATGCACTAATTCTCATTGTTCATTAATCATATGGATGTTAAAAACATGTAACTCTCATTTAACATTTACTCGTGATTTCAGTTCTTGAACAAGTGAAAGAAGCCAAAGAGAAAAAAGCTAGAGAGGAGATATACAAAATCATTCAAGGTGAATGGTTTGTTGTTTTCTTCAGTGCTTGCACACCGTAAAATATAGTGCTTGTGCAGAATGAAAACTGCAATTTATGAGAAAACTGTGACGCATGATCTTTTCTCTTTTATTCCAGATTTGAGGGAAAAGAAGGGTGAAGAGGAAGAGATAACACTACAACAAATAAACATAACAGTAGAAAAAGTCAGGAAAAAAGAAAAAGGACATGACAAAAAGGAGATAGAAAAGGTTAAAAGAAAACAAAAATCCAAAGTGGACAAGACTCAAGAACCAACGGGTAAGACTGATAAAACATATTTAACTTATCCATTTCACTTCTCATATGTACAAAGCTCAACATCCACATCTAGATACATCTAGACTTTGTCTAGATAAGTCTAGATTCTGCTACGATCAAGATGTACTCCAACAGAGTTGCTTTTTATAGATTAGATGTAAAACCCTGCACCTTTTCAAAAGATGATGTACTTGAACTATGTATATTATGTGTTCTAGAAAAGGACATCAAGAAAAAACTTGACACAAAGGTCAAGGTGACTAAAGTGGACGAGGAACCCCCTCTAAAAAAGAAAAAATCGGGTACATAAATGATTTACTAACACCAGTAGAATAGATAAATAAAGCTCTCTTTCTTCATTACACTGTCTGAGGGTTAATGTAACGTTGAAAAATAAAAACTATATATTGCAGCTATAGCCCATTAGGATATTATCAATATTTGAACTTTTTTTATAATTATAGGATGTATTGTTGCAGTAGTTTTTATATGGAGTGTCCTGGATCATTAAATGTCACATTTAAGGCCAATTCACACTGCACAGACAAACGCTGACTAACACGGACAATCAGCACATTACAGTTTGTCACTTCTCAGAAGTTCCAAGACCCAACAAACGCTGATTCAACATGTTCAATCGGCCGACCATCGGCAACAGACGGCGATAGGGGTAAACACACTGGTCCGAAAAAACCCAACGAAGTGTCTGTTGCCATTGGTTAGCATCTGTTGGTTTAGTGTGAATTGCCCTTTACAAATTGGCGTCTGATTCTAAAGAGAAAACACCAAAAATGTTTACAAAATGTAATATTACAAAATTATATGTAATGTGTACAATTTCCTCTGCACAGGACCTGAGAAAAAGGTTAAAGTAGCTAAGAAAGGTATTCAACGCATTCTGTGATTATTTTCAACACATCACAATCAATCCGCTGTTTCTCTCATACCCTCAATCCCTATGTTGTCTTTCAGATGATGTTACTAAGAAGATGGCCAAAACCAAAGGTAAAAAGTATTTCCATGCGAGCTACTAACATACAGTAACCAGGGGGTGACCTGAAAGCTCAGTTCTAGTGGTTGAGAGATCTTTGCAGATCTGGGATGTGTTTTATGTGTATGTCTATAACAGCCAGTTCATCCACAACTGCATTAATATCTATTGTATCATAGATGTTGAGATTGCCAAGGACAAAACCAAAGCAGTCACTGTAAAGAAAGGTATGTAACTTATGTGGTAAGTGATTTTCTGTTTGGTTGCATTTAAATTAACAGGAAATAAATGTAAATGTTTATTTACAGAAGCTGAAGTGGCCAAAAAAGAGACCAAATCAGCACCATCTAAGAAAGGTATTGTGTTGTATGTTCTTGCTTTAATAAACACACATAAAGCAAATTCATAATTGAAGTACATTATGCACAGCACACTACCATTGTACAGTTTGGGTTCAGTACGTTTAAAAAAAAGAAGAAGAAATTCATACTTTTATTCAGCACAGACACATTAAATTGATCAAAAGTAATTAAAGATGTTTACCCAAAAATCAATTTCAAATTAATGCTGTTCTTTTGAACTTTCTATTCATCAGTGAATCCTGATCAAATGTATCTCAGTTCCTGTCTATATATATCTATAATACTGTCTAATACAACACCATACAACAGTCATGTGTAAAAGAAAGGACACCCTTTTGAATTCTATGGTTTTATGTATTAGGACATAATAAAAAATCATCTGGTCTTTAGCAGGTCTTAAAATTATTACAACCTCAGATGAACAACAGCACATGACATGTTACACTGTGTCAAAAACTTGGCCAAAATGGAGATGCCATGGGTGACAAACTAAGTACACCCTTACTGCTTCCATAGGAATTAAGAGGGTAAGTAGCAGTCAGGCGCTGCAAATGTCTTTGATCAATTGATCATCAGCAAGCGTGACCAACTCTATAAAAGCAGAAGTTTTGGCAGTTGGCTGATCTGGAGCATTCAGGTGTGTGTTAACACAATACCAAGGAGGAAAGACATCAGAAATGATAGAGAAGGAAATGTTGCTGCCATCAATCTGAGAAGGGTTATAAGGCCATTTCCAAACAATTTGAAGTCCATCATTCTACAGTAGGGAAGATTATTCACAAGTGGAAAACATTGAAGACAGTTGCCAGTCTTCCCAGGAGTGGACGTCCCAGCAAATTCCCTCGAAGGTCAGACCGTGCACTGCTCAGAGAAACTGCAAAAAACCCAAGAGCTACATCTCAGACTCTACAGATCGCAGTTAACATGTTACATTTTTAAGTTCATGGCAGTACAATTAGAAAAGATGGGACAAGTATTGCATGTTTGGAAGGGTTGCCAGGAGAACGCTGCTTCTCTCTAAAAAGAACATGGCAGCACTGCTTAGGTTTGCAAAGTTGCATCTGAACAAACCTCAAGGCTTCTGGAACAATGACCTTTGGACAGATGAGACCAAAGAGGAGATGTTTGGCCATAATGCACAGCGCCAAGTTAGGTCGAAAACACACTATATCAGCACAAGGACCTCATACCAACTGTCCATCACGATCATGGAGGGGTGATGATTTGGGCTTGTTTTGCAGCCACAGGACCTGGATACCTTACAGTCATTGGGTCGACCATGAACTCGTCTGTATACCAAAGTTTTCTGAAGTCAAATGTGAGGCCATCTGTCCTATACTGTAGCTACAGCTTGGCCAAAATTGGGTCATGCAACAGGACAATGATCCCAAGAACACCCGCAAATCTACAACAGAATGGAACTGAAAAAGAAAATAATCAAGGTGTTGCACTGGCCCAATCAAAGTCCAGACTCAACCCGACTGAAATGTTGTGGCGGGACCTTTGGCGGGAGCTGTGGATAAACAAATGCCCTCAAACTTCGATGAACTGAAGAGTGGGCCAAAATTCCTCCACAACGATGTGAGAGACTGATACTGTCATATAGAAAATGATTACTTCAAGGGATTGATGCTAAATGTGGTTCTAAAAGCAATTAAATCATAGGGTGTACTTAGTTTGTCACACATGGCTTCCCCACTTTGGCTTTATTTGTATTAAATGAACCATGACACGGTGTAATATGTCATGTGTTGTTGTTCATGTGGTTTTATTTAACTAATTTTAAGACCTGCTAAAGACCAGGGCCCGTATGTATAAAACTTCTAAGAAATGATCTTAAGAATAGTCTTAAGCTTTGACTTAAGTGTAAAAAAATACTTAGTAAAGAGTAGGACTTTTCTAAGAGTAGGAGACTTTTATAAAGCAGCTAAAAGCAACTTTCAGTAAAGTATAAGACTGATTCTTAAGTGCTGACTGAAGTGGGACTTAAGTGCTGCAAACTAAGGACTACAATGATGTTAACCCAAAATGGCCGCCCTCAACCTCTGAATCAGCCAATAGTGAGCCTGCAAGGGTGAGGTCACAGCAGCATGACACCAATTATTTAATGTAATTATAATAAAATAATTTAATTAAGACACTGAAACTTGAATATTTAAATGTATTTTTTTAAATGGCTTTGCATTGTGCAAAATTATCACAACTTAGTATTGAAGGAAAATTGTCAGATTCACCCTTTATTCAAATAGTATTAAAAATGTGTTCAATATTTTGTAAGCGTATTTTGTAGTTGTGCCTGGAGTCAATTGTTTATTTGTGATAACACAATGAAACATTCCAAATTGACATAATTTTTAGCTAAGCTGTCATACAAATAAAGTATGAACAGGTGAAAAAACTAGAGAGGAAAATCAAATATTAATAAATGATTATGTTGCAGACAATATATGATTTTTTTTTCTCCTGTGAGCTTTTTAATTGTAATATCTGTATTGTCCACCAAGGTGGAAAATTGTCTTTGGCTCACCAGCCATTCAAATAAATATATCATCACAGGTGCACTGCTGCATTTCTCCATTCGCCAAAAATATAATTATTACTTTAATTTCATTGCTATGAAACTTTTTAAAGGTAAGTTACAAAAAGAATACCTTGATGATTAAACTTTTTTTTTTATTGTTTGATCAACTCATTTAACTACAATTCATCATATTTTCGTTGAAAAGTGCATTGCCTAACCTCTCTGCTGCCATTTTGTTACTCCTAACTAGGTTAGGAGACCTCTCCAGCTCTCTTAAATAATTTAGGAGCTGAGACCAAGTCTTAGGACTTAGGAACTTTTATGAATCACACTTATTCTTAAGTTTAGGAATAAGAGTAAAATTATGTAATTCTTAGAATTTTGACAGACTTGAGACTAAAATTTTACTCTGAGTGGCTTTATACATACGGGCCCAGATGATTATTTTGTCCTGCATGATACATAAAACCATAGAATTTAAAAGGGTGTACTTTCTTTTTCACATGACTGTACTTTCAATTAGCAAGTCACTCAATTGCATTTTTTTTTAAATCATTTGTCTCTATTTCAGAGGTTGTTGTTTCTAAACAACAGGATGAAGCAGCGCCTGTAAAGAAAGGTATTATTCACATCCATTTTCTATTTTTCATATTTGCTATAATTTAAGTTCTCTTAATTGTTCTTCGCTCATTTGCAGAGACTAAAGTCACAAAAGAAAAGGCCAAAACAGCTCATTCAAAGAAAGGTATCACAATGCACATCTTGGGCTCTATCTTGCACCTGGCGCAAATGACTTTGTACACTGACGCATGTATAATTCCTATTTTGCACCCGCGCAAAGCGGACTTTCCCTCCACAGACACACGTCGGTTAACTAAGAAATACACTTGCGCTCCCCGGGGCGGTTCAGCGCAAAGAGGAGGCGTGTTCCGGCGCAAACTTTCCCTCATGCTATTTTGCTGTTCTATAAAACAATTGCGCCACTGACCAGAAAAAAACTAGTCTAAAGTCAGTGGCGCGTTGCGCGTTGTTCATAATGCTATTTTAAGCGCGCATGCTTGGCCATAATGTAGCGGGTGCACAATGCGCACACACTTTGATTCTCTCATCAACACAGATGCAGCAGTTTTTATTTTTGCAAATCATACATTATAACAAGGAAAAATATTAACACATGAGGGAAATCATTGTGGTGTCCATGAAGATGTAAAAAAAATTAGTTTTTTTCCTCCCACGCCTGTTTTACCGATTTGGGTGGGTTTCTCCCATCCCCATACAACTTCACTTCTCTGTCTTTCACGGTCCTGACAAGAACGTCGGTCTCCTCGGCTGTGAACCGCTCCTGGCGCACGCCTGGTAAATCCGCCGTTATAATAGCAATCCGCCATGCAACATGCGCACCTGCTCTTAAAGGGAATGTGAGATGACGCTCTGATTGGTTTATTTCACGTTACGCCCAAACCACACCTATGAATAATGAAGCTACTTCAGACCAACCCCTTTTAGATTTGCGCCAGGCGCAAGAGGCATTTATCCCGCTGGGAAAATAGCAACAGCGCCGGGATCCGCCCACAAAGTTACTTGCGCTTTGCGCTTTGACACTTGCGTTTCAGATCGTTAAAATAGGGCCCCTAATGTATCTCGTATGAAAACAGCTATTACAATTTTATATTCTTTCTTTTGTTCAGAAATAACGATGCTGAAGTGATGTCAGTGTTCAGTTTAGAAAACTGACTTCTTTTTTTTTTGTAAGCTTAATAATGTAATTATTTGCCACTTTTGTTTTTGTCTTTTGAAGAGGCTGAAGTTGTAAAGGAGAAACCTAAATCACATCCTGGAAAGAAAGGTATTTTCCAGTCTGAAGTATTCACGTCTTTTAGATTATAGTGATAAACTCTATTAGTGATAAACTATTACAAAAGGAATCATTAACCCAGAATGAGTTGTATGGTATACATTTATGATTCTTTTATGGTATTTTATTTTCAATATGTCAGAAAGATTAGCTTTGACATTCTGCATAACATCATTTTGTTTCACAATGAATAAAGTAAATTAATATAGGACTGAATGATGATTAAATGTTCATTTTTAGGGGAACTATTGCTTTAAGCAATCACTGTTATAGTTCTGTGTATTGATGGTGTGTTGATGATTGTTTGCTCAGACATCAGTATAAAATGTCACTTTTTCTTTCAAAAACTAAAGATATCAAGGAAAAGGCAAAAGCAGCTCCCAAAGAAAAAGGTATGCTTGTCCTGTAAAAATCAAACAGTTTATCATTTATAATTTATTTATTTATTTTTAATTAGAGATAACATATTTTGTCTGTTTAGTTGCTGAGGCTGTCAAGGAAAAAGCTAAGCCAGTAAACAAAGGTAGTTTTTTGTATGCGTATGTATTTATATGTTACCATATATAATGTTTTGCTTAAATGAACAGTTTGTTTCACATGCTTCCCAGAACCTAAGGTTACTAAAGAAACTGTCAAGCCCGCACCTTCAAAGAAAGGTAACAGGCTTGCATGTTCTTTTGTAAACATATTTTTGGCTGAAATGTGTCCTTTAAGGGTTAGAGATCCTTTTCTGTATAACTTTGGGGTTGTTGAGCACGCTGTAACTTTTCTCACCTTACCTATGCTTATTCAAATTTAAAATCCATACGGGCTACATGGATGATACAAGCCAAAAAAAAGTACATTTCTCTGGTAATACATTTTCATTGAATTCATTTCATTGAATTCATTGAGACATATTGTCTTCTTATTTCATATTACAGCTACAGTTCCAAAGGAAAAAGCTAAACCTGTGAAGAAAGGTCTGTTTCTAATTCAACTTTTTTTTCTGTTTCTCATTGAGTATTTTCTTGATATCAGTTTTATTGTATGATATATACCTGAATTCGCAAAAACAAAACTGTTAACGCAAAAAGTGTGGTTATTTTTATTAAGCTTTGAAAAATTGTTGAAAAATATGCATTTAAAGTAAATACATTTTTCACTTCTTTCATAAGCTGAAATCAAAGAAAAAACACCAGCACCTGTTAAAAAAGGTATTTATTGGCTGTGCTTTTCAAATTAAAGATTGTAGTACAGTTGTTTTCAATGTAAATGTAAATGTTTTTTTTTTTTTTTTTGCTTCCTGAAGCTGGCGTTGCTGTAGAAAAAGTAAAACCAGCTCCCAAAAAGAAAGGTATGACATTCCACAGACAATAGATGGCATTCAAAATTAAATGCAGTGTTTTTTAATGTGGCATATATTGCTGATGTTGATGCCAGAGTTTTCCAAAGAGAAGGCCAAACCAGAGCCCTCGAAGAAAGGTAAAAAGCAAAAGCCACATCTTTTGAGAAGTGTTTTTCTATCACTCTCATTTTACATCACACACCTCTTACTTTCTTCATACCGTAGAGCCTGAGCTTCCAAAACCCGAATCATCAAAGAAAAGTAGTGCTTTTGCAATGTGTAGTAAAATTGCAGCAATAATTATTTTCATTTATTTAGTTTCATATTTATTTCATTCAGATACTGCAGAAGTGAAAGAAAAAGCAATACCAGCTCAGGTTAAAAAAGGTATTCATGCTCTTATGTAATTAATTATTGTATTATATACTATTTCAACTAACATTTGATTTTGAAGAGAACAAGAACTTAATGTATTGATAACCTTTAGCAGCTGAAGAGAAAGAAAAACCTGTCCTTATGAAAAAAGGTATGACTCCTGCTTTTAAATATCTTATATTAATAATATTTTTTTTCAGAGACACATGTGCGTGTCTATGGTATAATGTGTTGTTTCAGATTGTTCCTACAGCCCTGCTCTTACGTATATTGATTCACACAAAAATATTATGTCTTTTGTTGAAATGTCGCTGTACATCTATTTAAAAATTATGGATTCACAAAGTTTGAAAAGCATTGTTTCTGAATGCATGTTGAAGTGAAAAATGGTTTAAACTTACTTTCAAAAGTAAAGCTGAGACAATTGGTTTACAGTTACTTTGTTGCAGTCATTCTTTACTTCTCAGAAAAGTGTACTTTTTATTTTTATGTTTTTTTTTATTGTAATATTTTCTGGTGTTTCTTGCAGGTGCTGAAAAAATTGAAGACAAAGCAAAACCAGCACCAGAAAAGAAAGGTGATTGATTTTAGATAACTGTGAATTAAAGCTGTGGTCTACTGAATTCAAATCTTAACAAAACTTAAGTTTCAGAGGAACAGTACACATCAGCAAGTTTAAATGCTTTTCTCTTTCGTTATTTGAATAATTTAGAGGCAAAAGCTCCCAAGGACAAAACCAAACCGGACCTTTTGAAGAAAGGTATGATGCACTTACAGTAACACAGCATTTCATTTAAAAGTCTTTTTTTTGTGACATTAACTGAGCCTGTGGACTCATTTTCAGAGCCTGTTGTTTCTAAGGAGAAAGAAAAGCCGCCAACTGCCAAGAAAAGTAATACGGAAAGATCGATGCTTGATTGATTTTTATTTTATTTCATATATTGTATAGAAAAATTATATTTATTAAATATACACATGCATCTTGTTCAGAAGAGAAGCCAACACCCATTCCTGTGAAAAAATAACTTTTGTAATTTTCCTTTCTTAAATTTAAGGATGCTTAACACTTAGTTTTCCTTGAATTGTAGAGCCTGCAGTTGGAGATGAGAAAGTCAAACCGGTACCTTCAAAGAAAGGTAAAAACACTTAAATATTGCTCAGAGGCTAAATATCCTGAAGATAGGACATCAATACCTATCAAACAGTTAGGTTTTTTATTATTACTTTACTTTCTAAAGCATGCAATTATAATAATTTCAGATAATGAAGCTACTATGGAGAAAATGAAATCAGCCCCAGTTAAGAAAGGTGCGGTTTGATTTTGTTGAAATTTTACTTTTTTCCCCCAATGTTTATATGATGCTAACTGTTTACATCCACTGATATACAGAGCCTGAGGTTTCCAAAGAAAAATCTATGCCAGAGCCTTCAAAGAAAGGTAAAATGAATGCAATTGGTTTTATCGTTCAACATGCATATTATAAAATGGTTGTCACATCAGAAAAAATATTGAATCTTGCACAGAGGTTGAAGCTGTTAAAGAGAAGGTAAAACCAACACCTGCTAAAAAAGGTACAGTACTCTGTATTTAAGAACCAATATTTTTTTCATTACTTATAATGTACATTGTAATGCATTGTATGATGATGAATATGAATAATTGTAACAACCGTTCCTCTTCAGTCGGTCAGTCGACGCCATGTCGAGACCGACAAATGGGAATCTTGCTAGAGAGGCCAATCTACATCGAGTGAAACTAAATGAGCCAATGCACATTGGCGTGCAATCATTTGCATCAGCTGTTCAGCCACGCAGCGCGGGTATATAATGAGCAGCAGGTGCGATTGCACTTCAGCTTTTTGCTTCGGAGCCGAGCGTTTGCCCTCCTGCATCTGCCCTCACTCCCGCTCGGCAGCAGCAGCCTCCACCTAAGCGGCGCCAAGGAGCCAGTCGCAGGCAGTCCTCCCCGCCAAGAGGAGCGGCAAAGCGGTCCTAGGACGGGCAACCCGGAAATGGATGGGACTGCTCTTCAGGAGATGGTGACCGCACCACTCCCTCCCCCGGAAGGAAAAAAACAGTGGTACCCAAATTTTCAATAAAAGAGCAGTTTCTTCCATCTCTGGGTCCGAAGAGAGCAGTGGGGGGAGAGAATCCTCACCACTATCATCCGTCTCTTCTATCGCCAGAGGGCAACAACCAAGCTTCCTCCTGCGCCTCCTGTCCCGTGGAATCAGGTCAGTGTTGCACAGCAACTCTCTCCTACAGCAACTCTCTTCACCTCACTGCCCCACTGCGGGTATGCCTACGGTCCCTATGGTCCCACTTGTATGGTCTCTGAGAGCCTGGTTAGTGCTTCCCAGTCCGTCTCGCTGGCTCATTTGAACCATTAGGCTCGGCTATGTGATTCAGTTCGCCCAGCGTCCCCCCAAGTTTCGGGCTATCCACTCCACTACAGTGAGAGCAGCCGATGCCCATGTCTTGCGAGTGGAGATCGCAGTCCTACTGGCGAAGGATGCGATAGAGCTGGTCCCTCCAGCCGATATGAGGTCAGGGCACTACAGTCCCTACTTCATTGTACCCAAGAAAGGCAGTGGGTTATGACCGATCTTGGACCTGCGAGTTTTGAATTGGAGTCTCCACAAGCTACCGATCAAAATGCTCACGCAGAGACGCATTTTCGAATGCATCCTTCCCCAAGATTTGTCTGCAGCGATCGACCTGAAGGACACATACTTTCATGTCTCGATTTCACCTCGACACAGGCCGTTTCTGCGCTTTGCGTTCGAGGGTCGAGCATATCAGTACAAGGTCCTGCCCTTCAGGCTGTCCCTGTCCACGTGTCTTCACGAAAGTCACGGAGAAGGCCTTTGTTCCCATGAGAGAACAGGGCGTTCGCATCCTCAACTATCTTGACGACTGGCTCATACTAGCACACTCTTAAAATCAGTTATGCAAACACAGGGACCTCGTGCTCAGGCACCTCAGCCAGTTGGGTCTTCAGGTCAACTGGGAAAAGAGCAAACTCTCCCCCGTGCAGAGGATCTCTTTTCTCGATATGGAGTTGGATTTGGTCGCACAGACAGCGCACCTCACAGAGGAACGCACTCGGTTGGTGCTGAACTGCCTGAATACGTTCAAAGGCAGGACAGCGGTCCCACTGAAATTCTTTCAGAGGCTCCTGGGGCATATGGCAGCAGCAGCAGCGGTAACACAGCTCGGGCTGCTCCATATGAGACCGCTTCAGCACTGGCTTCACGGGCGAGTCCCGAGATGGGTGTGGCATCATGGTACTCACCGGGTGACAATCACACCGGCGTGCCGCCAGACCTTCAGCCTGTGGTCAGACCCCTCGTGCCTGCGGGCAGGAGTGCCCTTGGAACATGTGTCCAGGCATGCTGTGGTGTTTACAGGTGCCTCTCCCACCGACTGGGGTGCCACGTACAGTGTCAGGGGTGTGCAGTGTCAGGGGTGTGGACAGGCCCCCAATTGTATTGGCACATCAACTGCCTCGAGTTGCTAGCAGTACGTTTCGCTCTGAGGCCGCTACAGGGCAGGAATGTGCTGGTTTGACGGACAACCTTGCGACCGTTGCGTACATCAAACGACAAGGTGGTCTACGCTTCCGTCGGTCTAACTAACTTTGACGGTCTAACTCGCCCGCCATCTCCTCCTCTGGAGTCAGAAGCATCTGAGGTCGCTTCGAGCCATGTATGTCCCCGGTGTGCTCAACTGTGTGGCCGACGAGCTGTCACGAGCTGTGCTCCCGAAAGAATGGCTACTCCACCCCCGGAAGAATGGCTACTCCACCCCCAGGTGGTTCAGCTGATCTGGAGAGAGTTCGGGGAGGCTCAAGTTTGTTTGCCTCCTCAGAGAACTTCCACTGCCAGCTGTTTTACTCCCTGACCAAGGGGACACTCGGCACGGACGCACTGGCACACAGCTGGCAAATATGCGTTTCCCCCAGTAAGCCTACTTGCACAGACCCTGTGCAAAGTCAATGAGGACAAGGAGCAGGTCCTTCTGGTGGCTCCCTATTGGCCCACCCGGACCTGGTTCCCAGACCTCATGCTCCTCCCTGGCCCATTTCTCTGAGGAAGGACCTTCTGACTCAGAGACGGGGCACCCTATGGCACCCGCGTCCGGACCTCTGGAAACTCCATGTGTGGTCCCTGGACGGGACGCGGAGATTCTAGGTGACTTACCCCCAGAGGTACTTAACACCATCACCATCACGTCTACGAGACGTGCGTACACCTTGAAGTGGAACCTGTTCATCGAGTGGTGTTCTTCCCGCCGAGAGGACCTCCGAAGATGTTCGATCGGGTCCGTGCTTTCCTTCTTGCAGCAAGGGTTGGAGTGAAGGCTGTCTCCCTCCACCCTCAAAGTACATGCTGTCGCTATTTCAGCATATCACAACCACATAGATGGCAAAGCAGTAGGAAAGCACGACCTGGTTGTCAGGTTCCTTAGGGGGGTGAGATGGTTAAACCTACTGTGCACCCTTATTGCTCCAGAGTGAAAACCCTGTTGAGTCCTTCACCACCCTCTGCCTGGACGTGGCAGAGCGTCCGGCACCAGGCCTTTATCCGTTGAATCCTTGAGAACCGGGTCTAGGCTGGGTCCCATATGTGTGTCCCTGCAGGGATCCCATATGTGTATTTCTACCACGGCTGCTCCTAAACGGAAGCCTGTGTCTTTCCCTTGGGCTAAGTCACCCAGTATTCATATGCAGTACAACCTTCGGGTTAGTCCAAATGTATATTTCCACATAACTCCTTCAGGGAAGAATGTGGGTTCCGCAGCATTCTCCTTCCTAACAGAAAGGGCACGTTTTCCCAGTGTTATCCAAGAATCTCCCTGTATGGGTTATTACGGAACTACAGTGACAGATATACTCTGTGTAAGCCCTCTCCTATCGTCCTTCCAGGCAAGAAGGGACAAGAGGCCTCTCTAGCAAGATTCCTATTCATTGGTCCCGACGTGGCGTCTCCGTTCCCTCCTTCAGGGAGCGAGGGTTACCATATGTAACCTAGACGTTATAATACATTATAATTATGTTAAACCTTTAGAAAGTATAATACATTCAAACACATGACAAACAAACATTTTCAGATGTACCAAGGAATCTGCAAATATTATAATGCATTTTAACTTTGGTTAAAATGCATTTAAGTGGTTTATTTATGAAAAGGTATAATGCATTATAACGTATATAATGCATACCTGTATAATGCATTATAAATAAAGGCTTTAAGTAAAGGTTTACCTTTTTTCAAGGTTTCAAGGTTTACCTAAATTGTGAGAGATAAGATTAGGAGGGAAATTATTTCTGATACATTTTCCAATCTCAACTGATACACATTTAGAGGATGAAGTTACCAAGGAGCCAGCTAAACTTGTGATTGTTGAGAAATATAGGCTTGTCATTCAACAAGATATTATTTTCTGTTTTTCTTTAATAAGTTAATTAGAATGATACAACAGGAAGATTTACTGTACATATAATTTTCTGTGAAGTTTTATTTGTTGGATTTACTATATCTCTTATCTCGTTCAGAAGATGAATTTGTCAAAGAGAAGGAAAAAGCAGCTCCTGTAAAGAAAGGTACCACACTGTGTCCAGTTTAAACATGGCCATTACTAAATGTTTTCCACATATCATATTGCTTTTTACTATAAAGAAAAAAATGCTCTCCTTGATTTGTTTAGATGCTGAAGATATTAAAAAGGCAAAACCTGCTCCTCCAAAGAAAGTTACTGACATTCCTTAAGTAGTTTATATTCCTTAAAAGTGTAATTTACAAAGTGTAATATATGTTATAATTATATACAAATAATAATATAATAAAATATAAGTTTAAATGTAAAATGTGCCCAAATTTTATGGAGGGTAATGGTAAAACATCCGGATAGTGTAATAAATTCCATAATACCATTGATTTTCTAAAATATATTCCTGTAAATCCTAATCCATTAAGATGCAAGTTCTTTTGAGAAGAACACTTTAAGTTTCTGAATATTTTACATTACTTAAGCATGTACATTAGCTCTATATAAATATTTTACCATGTGATTTGACTTGATTTTCAGAGTCTGAAATTATTAAAGAGAAGAAGAAACCTCCAAAGAAAGGTAATTAAATGCAAATGTGAAAAACAACTCTTGTGTTAATGTTATTTTTTGTTACATTTATTTTACATTTTTAGAAGCTGTAAAAGAAAGACCCCAACCTGCTTCTGTAAAGAAAGGTATTTATACTAGATATAGTCACAAGTTAAAACTTTATCTGTTGATAGATAGAAGTGGTCTTTAATTCAAGAGAAAGAAGTGGTCTTTAATCATTGGTTTTATCTGAATATGTACATGAAAATCCACACTGAATATGCTGTTGATGTTTCCATACATTCACAGAATCTAAAGTTCCAAAAGAGAAAGCAAAACCTAAACCTTCCAAAAAAGGTTAATTGTCTGCATAGTTTATAATGTTTTTGAAGTGTTTTGTTTTAAATGCAGTATTCTTTTAGTATTCTAAATAATATCTTACATAATATATATTTCAGAGGCAGAAGTTGTCAAGGACAAACGTAAACCTGTTACTGTGAAGAAAGGTATGAATGAGTCTTTCATTACAGTATAATCGCTATACACGTTTAAAAGACAACAGGAAATGTTAAACTAATTATTTTAATGATAATCTTAAAAAAATGTACAATGTAAAATAACAGTAATCATTAGATATTCAAGCTTATATAATCTTATGATATTATATCTGTAACGAATCGTCAGGAATGACATGAAGAGCGAATCCAAATGCAAGCACTTTAATTATCCAACAAACAGGTAATCCAGGGTAAGGTCAGAACAAGGTACTCAGAACACAGACTACAAGCAACATTCAACAACAACCGACAGCAAACAACTGAAACACAGGGGTTTAAATACACAGACAAACAAGCTAAACAAGATAACAAGGGGGCGTGGTTAATCAGAAACACATGGGGAGACTAATCAACAAAACGGGGAACAGCTGAACATGAAACAAGACACATGGCAGGATAACATGACAAACAGGGAATCACATGACAGACAAGAACAAGGAACAAAACACAAAACCCACACCGTGACAATATCTCAATGTTTTGCAGAACCTGCTGTTGCAGTTGAAAAGGCAAAAACAAAACCCGCACCAAAGAAAGGTAGAAATATTCTCTGTCTTATGACACATTTTTAAGGCAATTTTTTTTGCAAGCACAGTTTCTGAGCCTGAAGCTGCTATAAAGACATCTATGCATTTGCTCAACTGTTTGACAAGATTAAAACTGAAATGTAATTCTGTTTATAGAGACTGAAAATACCAAAAAGAAAGCTAAGCCAGAACATCCAAAGAAAGGTATTACATAAGTATGCAGTATATGCTACAGTATGTTACATTTAGCAAACATTTAAAAAATAAATACTTGACAACATGTTTAGCAGAACCTGAGATAACCAAAGAAAAACCCAACAAAGAAAGATACGCAAATTTATTGTGATGATGTCTTACAGTAAATTAAACTATTACGATTTTAGGTGCTGTTCAAGGCAAGGTAATGTCTTCTACTCAGTTTTAAGATAATGCTAATATATTTTGCTTTCTTAATGTTTTCATCATCACATTGTAGCGGATAAAGTCAACAAGGAGAAAGCTAAACCAGCCCCTGAGAAAAAAGGTTTGATTCACAGCATTAACAATCAATAATGCTACAGAAAACCATTTAAAGTATTAAAAACATTTCTCGTCATTGCCATTTCAGAGTCTAAAGTCATGAAGGAGAAAGCTAAACCAGTTCCTGTAAAGAAAGGTATGTGTATTAATCAACCTTTTCCTCATGCAAAATAAAAGAAAATGAATGCAAAAAGAAGAATATATAGTATATCCCTTTCACTTTTATATTATCATCATTGCAGAGGCTGAAGTCATCAAAGAGGTTAAACCAGCCCCTGAGAAGAAAGGTTTTCATTTTTTTTATCATTATTTTAGCTTGATGTGTGCTTTCATGTTGTGTTAAATATCAAGTTGAAAATTAGCCAAGGACATTGAAACACAATGCTAAAGCATCATTGCCATTTCAGAGGCTGAAGTCATTAAGGAGAAAACAACTCCTGTAAAGAAAGGTATGGATGACAATAAAATCATCCTGCATATGCTGTCACTTTTCACTGTATAATAATCCTTAAAACTATAAATTAAAACTATTTTAGAAACTATTTATTTTACTGACATAAATTAAAACTATTTCATAGAGACCGAAGTTACTAAAGAAAAGGCACCAAAACCCAAAAGAGGTGAGTTCTTAAATATTTAAAATCATTTACTTAACACTTTACATATTTTATCAGCAGTTAGTTTATTTATTCCATAGAGAGAGAGACTTTATCCTTCTATTTCAGAAGTTGAAGATGTATTGAAGTTGAATTACTTGACATTATTGAAAGTGAAATATCTGTCTGTTTTGTAGAGCCTGATGTTTTCAAAGAGAAACCAGCACCTCCAAAGAAAGGTAGAGAGATATAGTATTTTCTTTATCAACATTTGCAACAGTGAATACTAGATTAGACCAAATCTCATACAGATAATGTTACATTAAAAAAAAATCTTAAAAACATTATTTACCTTGTAACCCTTACAGTCGAGGTTCTGAAGGAAAAAACAGTTCCTGAAAAGGAAGGTATAGCTTTAAAATAGAAAAGCACTTTTATTTACCATGAGACACTGTATCGAATATAAAATAACATATCTGCAAATGCTGACAATACTTTTAAAAAGTCAATTATGACTGACCTTTCAATTACTGCTGTTTTCCAGCACCTGAAATAACCAAAGAAAAACCAAAGCCAGCACCAAAGAAAGGTTAATTTGTTAATCTGTAATGATAATGCCAAACATTTTCCCCAGCCAGCTTTAAAACAAAAGCTAATGCTTAAATTATTTTTGTTTTAATAATTTTAGAGGCTGAAGTCATCAAGGAGAAAGCTAAACCAGCCACTGAGAAGAAAGGTTTGATTTACTTTAACAATTGAATTATTATTATCCCATGCAAAAATGATAATGCTAAATTCACTTTTTCTATATATTTTGATCATTTTAGATGCTGAAATCATTAAGAAGAAAACTAAACCAGCCCCTGAGAAGAAAGGTAAGAGTTACTATTTGTATTAACGTTTTAGATTTGATCCATTTTATGCATGCTTCTTTCAGTTTCCGCTAATCCCATTTACCTATTTACAATCTCTAAATGTTATTATTTTCAGAGGCTGAAGTCATCAAGGAGAAGCTTAAAGCAGCTCCTGTAAAGAAAGGTATAGATATGAATGAGATGATCATATACTTTTAATTTTTACTGCATGATGATCATTCATCATGTGATACTGTCTCGGAGAGTCTGAAGCTGCTAAAGAAAAGGTACCTGAACCAAAACCAGAACCCACTAGGAAAGGTGTTAATATGCTAAAGTTTATCTTTTAAAATCAATGCATTTGAATGCATGCCTATTATAAATATTTTCATATAAGCTTTTAGAAACAAATATCAATCTAACTTGTGATATCTTTTCAGTTGAGGTTCTAAAGGAAAAGGAAAAAACAGTCCCGGAAAAGAAAGGTACATATCGAGTTTACCTGTTAATTCAAAATCACTTTTACTAATTATGTAATGCAGTGCCTTGATTTTATCTGTACATCTGCAAATTCTAAAGTTAAACCCTCGTGTTTTGCAGCAGCACCGGAAATAACCAAAGAAAAACTTAAGCCTGTACCAAAGAAGGGTAAACTTTTTCAATATTAGTGAGAATAATGCTTAAAACGGTTTTACCACTGGCCTTTTGTAAGGTAATGCTAATTGTTTGCATTTTATTTTATTTACATTTTAGAGGCTGAACTCATTAAAGAGAAAGCTAAACCAGCCCCTGGGAAGAAAGGTTTGACTCACTGTATTAAGAATTAAATTACTATTTTAAATTAAACTAAACAAATTGATTAAATGATTAAACTAAACAAAAAAAAATCTAAATATGTTTTGCATCATCATTATCTTAGAGGCTGAAGTCATCAAGGAAAAAGTTAAACCAACCCCTGAGAAAAAAGGTGAGTTCATGTTAATATTTTTATCTAGACAAATTCGAAAGATAATATTTAAAATATCTTTTACAATCACCACATTGCCATTCCAGAGGTTGAAGTCAAGGAGAAAGCAAAACCAGCTCCTGCAAAGAAAGGTATGGATGTCAATAAATGCTTTTGTCTAATAATTATTCATATCATTAAAATTTCTTCCTTGTGGAACTTATGTTTCATGACTTTTGTTTCTAAAAAATATTTTATATTTTCACATATTTCAGAAGCTGAGGTCATTAAAGAAAAATCCAAACCAGCCCCTGAGAAGAAAGGTTTGAGTTACTGTTTTGAGAAACGTTTTCCACAAACTCTTAATATTAAAGAAAATCAATACCTCTAAACATTTTATATCATTACAATTTCAGAGGCTGAAGTCCTAAAGGAGAAAGCAAAACCAGCTCCTGTAAAGAAAGGTATGGAAATGAATGATTATTCATCACATACAACAGTAATGTATCCTAAAATACATTATTGTATCCCATATATATTGATATATATATCTTTTACCAGCCAGCCAGTGTATTCATATAAAAAATTCAAACTAAAAGAAAATTATAAAGATAATAAATCTTTTAAAACCTAAATATTTTTACATCATTGCCATTTCAGAGGCTGAAGTCATCAAGGAGAAAACAGCTCCTGTAAAGAAAGGTATAGATATAAATGAAAGCTATATTTTAGCTAGTTTTTAAGATAACACTGATCTTTTGTTTTTTAGTGCAAAATAGAATAGAACTGGTTTGTCTTCATATTTTATATTATCATCATTGCAGAGGCTGAAGTCGTCAAAGATAAAGCTAAACCAGCCCTTGAGAAGAAAGGTTTGACTTACTATGTTAATATTTAAAATGTTTCCTCCAAGCAAAATGTAATATTATGCAAAATTATTTCTTTGGCTTCCTCTAAGTATTTTTATATAATGGTCATCATTTCAGAGGCTGAAGTTGTTAAGGAGAAAGCTAAGCCACCCCCTGAGAAGAAAGGTAAGAGTTACCATTAACTTAGCTTCATGAGTGATTTCATTTTTTGGTATCATAAATTTTAAGATAATGCAAAGAAGACATTTACAATATCTAAAGATTTTTAAACCATTCTCATTTCAGAGGCTGAAGTCATCAAGGAGAAAGTTAAACCAGTTCCTGTGAAGAAAGGTGAATGAAATGAAATCATATCCTACATATGCAGTCGCTTTCCGCTGTATGATCAATCACATCAGATCAATTTTAAACTGTTTTTATAGAGCCTGAAGTTGCCAAAGAAAAGGCTCCTGAACCAAAACCCAAAAAAGGTGAAATGTCTCCCCACATACTGTATGTGCATTTATATGTGCATTGAATGTCTCAGGTTACAACTGTAACCCTAGTTCCCTGAGAAGGGAACGAGACGCTGCGTCGATGACGCTTTGGGAACGCCCCTGCGTGATTGCGTCTGAAGCACGTATGTCAACTTAGTCCAATGGCGAGAGTGAGCCTCGCGGCGGGTGACGTCACAACCAGGAAAGGATAAAAGCACATTCGGTCTGACCGGCATTAGCTTCGAATTAGCCGAAGCAAGTAAATCACAGGGATGCAGGAAGTATGGCAGGGCGACCCAGCGTCTCGTTCCCTTCTCAGGGAAGTAGGGCTACAGTTGTAACCTGAGATGTTCCCATTCGAGGGAACTCGCGCTGCGTCGATGAGGCTTTGGGAACGATAAATTATGTTTCACTAAACAAAGTTCGGGAGGAGCACGTTCAAATAATCAATCCAATTAACTTCATCAACAATCATCATGACTATCCCATCAGCATGAGAGGAAGCATATACACTCACCGGCCACTTTATTAGGTACCCCATGCTAGTAACGGGTTGGACCCCCTTTTGCCTTCAGAACTGCCTCAATTCTTCGTGGCATAGATTCAACAAGGTGCTGGAAGCATTCCTCAGGGAGTTTGGTCCATATTGACATGATGGCATCACACAGTTGCCGCAGATTTTTCGGCTGCACATCCATGATGCGAATCTCCCATTCCACCACATCCCAAAGATGCTCTATTGGGTTGAGATCTGGTGACTGTGGAGGCCATTTTAGTACAGTGAGCTCATTGTCATGTTCAAGAAACCAATTTGAAATGATTAGAGCTTTGTGACATGGTGGAAGTAGCCATCAGAGGATGGGTACATGGTGGCCATAAAGGGATGGACATGGTCAGAAACAATGCTCAGGTAGGCCGTGGCATTTAAACGATGCCCAATTGGCACTAAGGGGCCTAAAGTGTGCCAGGAAAACATCCCCCACACCATTACACCACCACCACCAGCCTGCACAGTGGTAACAAGGCATGATGGTTCCATGTTCTCATTCTGTTTACGCCAAATTCTGACTCTAACATCTGAATGTCTCAACAGAAATCGAGACTCATCAGACCAGGCAACATTTTTCCAGTCTTCAACTGTTCAATTTTGGTGAGCTCTTGCAAATTGTAGCCTCTTTTTCCTATTTGTAGTGGAGATGAGTGGTACCCGGTGGAGTCTTCTGCTGTTGTAGCCCATCCGCCTCAAGGTTGTGCGTGTTGTGGCTTCACCAATGCTTTGCTGCATACCTCGGTTGTAACGAGTGGTTATTTCAGTCACTGTTGCCCTTCTATCAGCTCGAACCAGTCTGGCCATTCTCCTCTGACCTCTGGCATCAACAAGGCATTTCCGCCCACAGAACTGCCGCTCACTGGATGTTTTTTCTTTTTCGGACCATTCTCTGTAAACCCTAGAGATGGTTGTGCGTGAAAATCCCAGTAGATTAGCAGTTTCTGAAATACTCAGACCAGCCCTTCTGGCACCAACAATCATGCCACGTTCAAAGTCACTCAAATCAACTTTCTTCCCCATACTGATGCTCGGTGTGAACTGCAGGAGATTGTCTTGACCATGTCTACATGCCTAAATGCACTGAGTTGCCGCCATGTGATTGGCTGCTTAGAAATTAAGTGTTAACGAGCAGTTGGACAGGTGTACCTAATAAAGTGGCCGGTGAGTGTATAAAGGCACTCAGTTGACTCACCTACATTCCTTGACAGTTTTTCAGCATCCCTCCACCACCCCGACACCTCACTCTTGGCTTGTTCCTTCCACAGCCAGGAATACGGGGGGAGTACTCTGGGTTCGGGCCAAATACCGCGGCCCGGAGCCCTCTCCTCGGACAGCACGCCAAATATGCATACCATTTATTCTATCTGACTCATTTGTAAGTGTGAACTCGTGAATACCCAAACGCAGTACTTACAATTGCCTGTTATGAGAAACTGTTGGCAACTAAGTCATAAGCACCTGAGACCTTGGGGCAGCGACCAGATCCAGGCTATAAAACCTCACAAATGTGAGCGGGGAAGACCAGCCCGATGCATCACACACCTCTTGTAGGGAAACCCCTGAAATTAAGGCTTTAGAGGCCGCCATACTCCTAGTAGAGTGAGCTCTGACCACCAAGGGTGATAGCTGGCCAGAGGACTCATAAGCATAGAAATAGCCTAGACCAGGGGTGTCCAAACTCGGTCCTGGAGGGCCACTGTCCTGCAGAGTTTAGTTCCAACTTGCCTCTACACACCTGCTTGTAAGTTTTTAGCATGCCTAATGACCTTCAACAGCTAATCAAGACCTTGATTAGCTGTTTCAGGTGCGTTAGTTGGAGTTGGAGCTAAACGGGCAGTGGCCCTCCAGGACCGAGTTTGGACACCCCTGGCCTAGACTATCCACTTGCTGATCGTCTGCTTAGAAGCTGGAAGACCTTTCTTAGGTGATCCAAAATAGACAAACAGCTGATCTGATTTTCTCCACGGAGCAGCTCTGTGGACATAAGTGTCCAGTGCTCGCACTGGACAGAGGAGATTCAGCCTTTCCTGGTCTGGAGTCGTGAAAGGAGGAAAACAGAAAGCTTGCAACACAATAGGCCCCCCAGTGTTGGTCGGCACTTTAGGGATGTAGCCCTGTTTAGGATATAAAAATGCCTTGACCATCCCAAGTGCAAACTCAAGGCAGGCTGGAAAAACTGAAAGGGCCTGAAGGTCTCTGAAGGTCAGAAACTTTTCTGAAACTGATTCGAGGGGCTAAAAGGGAGCCGCAGATAGGCCCTCTAGGACTATAGCCAGGTCCCAAGCCGGAACCCGAATACGAGTTGCAGGCCTCAGCCTTAAAGTACCACAGAGAAAACGAATAATCAGGGGGTCTCTACCCTATGATGTATTACCCCCCTGGGCATGGTAAGCCACTATGGCCGGCATGTAAACCTTTAGGGTGGATGGGCATAACCCTGAAGAAAGGCGGTCTTGCAAGAACTCAAGCACTGTACCAACTCAGCAGTTAACCGGATCCCACTGACGCTGATGACACCAAGAAGTGAAAACTTTCCACTTCAAGGCATAAAGTTTCCTCGTGGCTGGAGCTCTGGAGTGTAAGATGGTCTTTACAACCTCGGTTGAGAGACAAGCATCTTTGAGTTGGGCCCCCTCAGAGGCCAAACCCATGGTTCCAAATCTCTGGGTGGGGGTGAGACAGAAGGAGCAGGGGCGTTCACGCAGGGGCGTTCCCAAAGCGTCATCGACGCAGCACGAGTTCCCTCGAAAGGGAACTGCATTATTTGACATGATTGAAATTCCTTTCTTTTTGTTTTGTTTTGTAGAGCCCGAAGTTACTAAAGAGAAAGCTAAACCAGTCCCTGAGAAGAAAGGTTTGACTTACTGTGTTGATTGATGATTTGTCATTATCAAAATGTTATTCTTTCTCTAAACATATTTGTAATTTTATCATTTCAGAGGCTGAAGTCATCAAGGAAAAAGTTAAACCAGCTCCTGCAAAGAAAGGTATGGATGTCAAACAAATCATCCGGCATATACTGTTGTTTTCCACTGTATGATGTTTATTTATAACACAACACAATGCTGTTTTATAGAGCCTGAAATTTCTAAAGAAAAGGCACCCGAAACAACAAAGAAAGGTATTCATATACTGTACAGTTTTTGCTATATTCCATATGATGGAAACAAATCATATTTTTTTGTTGTCATCCCTTTTAGTCGAGGTTGCAAAAGAAAAGGCGAAACCAGTCCCTGAAATAAAAGGTTAAGCATCTAGTTCAAAATTCACGTTTGTATCTTATATGACCTCTTGATTTGATTTGACTTGATGCATATACTGTAGCAAGTTATGCCAATTGTTTGATTGTAGCCACTTGTGACTGCTATTTAAATAGTTTCTTGGCTTTTATAAATATTACAAAGAACATGATAAATGATATGATAAATTATGTCATGAGAGAAGATGCAACAAATGTCTGCTTTTTTAACATTAAACTCTTCTTTGCTTTGCAGAACCTGAGATAATTAAAGAAAAACCCAAGCCAACACCAAAGAAAGGTATGCTTACTTGCATTCATTTGTGAAAATAATGACAATTTCTGTTGTAAGATAATGTTAACCTTATGCTTTCACTTCATATGTTATGCCATAAAAATATAGAGGCTGAAGTCATCAAGGAGAAAGCTAAACCAGCCCCTGAGAAGAAAGGTTTGTTTCTTCTAAGCACATTTTTTCTTCTGTTACATTTCTAAGCAAAATAAAATGTGATGTTAAAATGTTTTATATTATCAACATTTTAGAGGCTGAAGTCAAGGAAAAAGCTAAACCAGCCACTGAGAAGAAAGGTAAAAGTTATAATTTCATGTGTGCTTTCACCCAAACTAAAAAATCCAATTGATATTTTGCCAAAAACATAATATACACTACCATTCAAAAGTTTAGTTAGATCAGTAAGATTTTTAAAAGAAGTCTCTTCTGCTTACCAAAGCTGCATTTATTTGACCTAAATTACAGCAAATACAGTAATATTGTGAAACATTTTTACAATTTAAAATAACCTTTTTCTATTTGAATATATTTTAAAATGCAATTTATTCCTGTGATGTCAAAGCTGAATTTTCAGCATCATTACTCCAGTCTAAAGTGTCACATGATCCGTCAGAAATCATTCTAATTTGCTGATTTAGTGCTTTAGAAACCTTTATTATTATAATCAATGTTGAAAACAGTTGTGTACAATTTCTATAAGGATTTAAAACTTTTAAACAATATATACACACACACATATATATATAGAATGTATGTATATGTATTCTCTAAATATTTTTACATGATTACCTTTTTCAGAGGCTGCAATCATCAAGGAGAAAGTTAAACCAGCTCCTATAAAGAAAGGTGTGGATGGAATTACTGATTTTGACATTATTATGATCATTTATCACATGCAAAAAAAATACTGTTTTATAAACCCTGAAGTTTCTAAAGAAAAGGCTCCTGAACCGAAACCCAAAAGAGGTTCGGTTTTCCTACAGGCCTTCTAGAACACTGTAAATCTAATCATAGCAACAACAAAAAAATGTGAAGAGCTTCATTGTTTGACACTATGAAACTGAAATATCTTTCTGTTTTCTGTTTTGTAGAGCCTGAAGCTGTCAAAGAAAAAGCTAAACCAGCCCCTAAGTTGAAAGGTTTGGGTTACTGTGTTAACAATCAAGATAACAATAAGCATAAATGTTATATTACACTACTATAATGTTTAAATGTTTTTATTTTATCAACATTTTAGAGGTTGAAGTCATCAAGGAAAAAGCCAAACCAGCCCCTAAGAAAAAAGGTAGAAGCTATAATTTCATGTGTGCTTAAACCCCTAAGTGAAAGATCAAATTCATGTTTTCTCACAAAAAAGATAAGATATAATTTTTCTAAATATTCTCACATAATTTCTTTTCAGAGGCTGAAGTCATAAAGGAGAAAGTTAAACCAGCTCCTGTAATAAAAGGTATACATTGAATTAAATAATCTGCTTATATTGTTGCTTTAATAATGTATGATGATCATTTATCACACCAAACCATACGATTTTATAGAGCCGAAGGTTCCTAAAGAAAAGGCACCTGAACCTGCAAAGAGAGGTATTATATGTGTGTGCAATTTTGAATACTTGAATGTCATATATATGTTTTCATTTAGTAAGTTTTGCTCTGAAACATCCTTATTTATCTTCTAATCCCTTTCAGTTGAAGTTCCAAAGGAAAAGACAAAACTAGTCTCTAAAGAAAAAGGTAAACATCTAGTATATTACCTAATATTGCTGATTAATCAGCACCGTAGCAAATGTTGACAATTATGACTTGTTTCGCTTGCTTTGCTAAAGTTACCAATATGTTTATTACAGGATATTTGAAAACTTACAGGTTAACTTACATTACACAACATTAAATCTGCTATTTAAAGTTAAAGTTCTAAAGTTAAACTCTCATGTTTTTCAGTACCTGATCAAATTAAAGACAAACCAAAGCCAGCACCAAAGAAAGGTACTCCAATTTATCAATAAGAATAAGACCAAAAAAAATCCCTGGTCAGTTTTAAGATCATGCTAATGCTTTTATATAATCATTTCATTTTAGAAGCTGAAGCCATCAAAGAAAAAGTAAAATCAGCTCTTGTGAAAAAAGGTTTGATTTACTGTTATCTGTTAATTTTACTTTATTTGTAAGAAAAAGACTAAAATAATGCTAAAGAAATTCTTTTCCCCACAAAATAATTTTACATTGTTTTCTTTTCAGAGGCTGAAGTTAAAGTGAAAGTTAAACCAGCCTCTGAGAAGAAAGGTAAGAGTTGCCTTTTTTTTTCTTTCAGTGTGTGATTTTTTTTCAGTGTTAAAGATGAAGTTAAGATTCATAAATGTAAGATTTTTTACAGTCTCTAAATATTATCATTGCCATTTCAGAGGCTGAAGTCATCAAGGAGAAAGTTAAACCAGCTCCTGCAAAGAAAGGTATGGATGTCAAACAAATCATCCGGCATATACTGTTGTTTTCCACTGTATGATGTTTATTTATAACACAACACAATGCTGTTTTATAGAGCCTGAAATTTCTAAAGAAAAGGCACCCGAAACAACAAAGAAAGGTATTCATATACTGTACAGTTTTTGCTATATTCCATATGATATTTTTTATTATGATATTATTCCATATGATATTCATATTTTTTTGTTGTCATCCCTTTTAGTCGAGGTTGCAAAAGAAAAGGCGAAACCAGTCCCTGAAATAAAAGGTTAAGCATCTAGTTAAAAATTCACGTTTGTATCTTATATGACCTCTTGATTTGATTTGACTTGATGCATATACTGTAGCAAGTTATGCCAATTGTTTGATTGTAGACACTTGTGACTGCTATTTCAATTGTTTCTTGGCTTTTATAAATATTACAAAGAACATTATGATAAATTATGTCATGAGAGAAGATGCAACAAATGTCTGCTTTTTTAACATTAAACTCTTCTTTGCTTTGCAGAACCTGAGATAATTAAAGAAAAACCCAAGCCAACACCAAAGAAAGGTATGCTTACTTGCATTCATTTGTGAAAATAATGGCAATTTCTGTTGTAAGATAATGTTAACCTTATGCTTTCACTTCATATGTTATGCCATAAAAATATAGAGGCTGAAGTCATCAAGGAGAAAGCTAAACCAGCCCCTGAGAAGAAAGGTAAAAAAAAAAAAAAATTATTCAGTGTTAAGGGTAAATCTAAGATTATATTCTTATGAATTGAAGATATTTTACAATCTCTATATAATATCATTGCCATATCAGAAGCTGAAGTCGTCAAAGAAAAAGTAAAACCAGCCCCTGTGAAAAAAGGTTTGATTTACTGTTTTATCGGTTAATTTTACTTTATTTGTAAGAAAAAGACTAAAATTATGCTAAAGAAATTATTTTCCCCACAAAATAATTTTACAATATTTTCTTTTCAGAGGCTGAAGTTAAAGAGAAAGTTAAACCAGCCTCTGAGAAGAAAGGTAAAAGTTGGCTTTTTTTTTTCAATGTGTGATTTTTTTTTTTCCTGTGTTAAAGATGAAGTTAAGATTCATACATTTAAGATTTCTTACAGTCTCTAAATATTATCATTGCCATTTCAGAGGCTGAAGTCATCAAGGAGAAAGTTAAACCAGCTCCTGTAAAGAAAGGTACCGTATGGATGACAATGAAATCACAATGTGTGTACTGTTGCTTTCCCACTGTATAGTAATTCAAGTATCACATGGAAAAAAATATTGTTTTATAGAGTCTGAAGTTTCCAAAGGAAAGGCACTTGAACCAAAACCAAAAAGAGGTGAGTTTTTTTAATCCCAACACAAGCAGATAATATGTAATTTAAAGAAAACAAAAAATTTCACAGTAAACAAAATTGTCTTTTTAGAGGCTGAAGTCATCAAGGAGAAAGCTAAAACAGCCCCTGAGAAGAAAGGTAAAAAAAAATTGTTGTTGTTTTTTTTACATTGTGTGATTTTATCCGGTGTTAAGGATAAATCTAAGATTCTATTCTTATGAATTGAAGATATTTTACAATCTCTATATAATATCATTGCCATATCAGAGGCTGAAGTCATCAAAGAGAAAGTTAAACCAGCTCCTGCAAAGAAAGGTATGGATGTTAATGAAATCACTGTGTGTAATGTTGCCTTCCTGCTGTATAGTGATTCAAGTATCACATGAAAAAATACTGTTTTATAGAGCCTGAAGTTTCTAAAGAAAAGACTCCTGAACCAAAACCCAAAAGAGGTGGGATTTTTTTTTCAGATTTTGATTTTTTCTAAACACAAGCAGATAAGATGCGCTTTAATGTAACTGTGTAAATTGAGTTGTACTTTAATACTCTATTATATGTATTTAGTTACTTCTAAATATGTAAACATTTTCACAATTTCAGAAGCTGGAGTCGCCAAAGAGAAAGTAAAACCAGCCCCTGAGAAGAAAGGTTTGATTTACTTTAAAATGTAATAAAAAGATTCTTTAGGAAAATATAAGATCATGCTAAAAAAAACCTTTTTATTTAATATTATCAACATTTTAGAAGCTAAAATCATCAAGGAGAGACCTAAGACGGCTCCTGAGAAGAAAGGTAAGAGTTACGGTTATTGTGGCTTAATGTGTGCTTTCATTCTGAAGATAAAGACGAAACTCAAATTTACTCAAATTCGATGACGATGATAATTTTTTTCTCTACATATCTTCATTATTTCTGAAGTAATCAAAAAGAAAATTAAACAAGCTCCTGTAAAGAAAGGTATAGATATCAATGCAATTGTCCTGTATGTGTTGTTTTCTGCTGTGTGATAATTATTATTATATTAATGAATTATAACTTTTATAGAGCCTGAAGTTGTAAAAGAAAAGGCACCTGAACTGGCCCCAAATTTGTTTATTTTTTTTTAGAGATTTATGTAACTCAACATTTCAAAGGCTAATGAGGTTAAAAAGGTGTTAGACTTCATTGTTAGGCATGCTTGAAACTGAAATATCTACCTGATACTCTAAAAATGTACCAAAGTTAAGCCCTCATGTCTTGCAGCTCCTGAGTCATCCAAAGAAAAGCCAAAGCCTGCACCAAAGAAAGGTAGTGCAATTTATTTTTGAAAAACAATGTCAAAAAATATTTCTGTTTTGGATAGTTTTAAGATAATGCTAATGCTTTAATTATTTTATATTATCATCATTTTAGAAGTTGAAGTCATCAAAGAGCAGGTTAAAGAAACTTTAAGATCATGCTAATAATCTTTTTATTTAATATTATCAACATTTCAGAGGCCGAAATCTTCAAGAAGAAACCTAAGCCAGCTCTTGAGAAGAAAGGTAAGGGTTACTTAACATAGCTTGATGTGTGATTTCAAGTTAAAGACCAAGCTCAAATTTACTCAAATCAAGTTTTTCTCATTCTCTTAATATTTTAGATATTTTAGAAGATGAAGTCATCAAAAGGAAAGTTAAACCAGCTCCTGTAAAAAAAGGTATGGATATCAACGAAATCCTGCATGTGCTGTTGTTTTTATGATGTATGATGATTACTCATTACATGAATTAAAACTGTTTTATAGAGCCTGAAGTTACTAAAGAAAAGGCCCCTGAACTGGCACCAAAAAAAGGTGAGATTTCCCCATGGTAAAAATGAGGGTAATGTCATTGCTTGAAACTGAAATATCTGCCTGATATTCAAAAATATCAGTTAAACCCCCATATTTTGCAGCACCTGTAAAACTAAAGAAAAGCCAAAGCCAGCAACAAAGAAAGGTAGAGCAGTTTATATTTGAAAAATGTCTATGTTACGTATGAAACCCTGGTTCCCTGAGAAGGGGAATGAGATGGCACGTCTGATATTGGCACTAAATATAAAAGGTATAATTATAAAAGGGTGCCTGTAATACACGTCATCAAATCTTTTGTCTGATGGAGACGTGCAGGCAAGCCATAGACATGACAACGAGATATGGTATCTCATTCCCCTTCTCAGGGAACCAGGGTTACATACGAAACCTAGACGTATGCATGAACATAATGGGCATAGCATAAATTGACTCTACAGATTACTTAGACGGAGTCGGAACGCGTCAACCCCAAGGGCGCATCCAAAATGACTCATATAGACTGTATAGTGGCACTACTCCCTAAGCCAATATCTTCCAATTGTAGAAGATGGAAGCTTCTATGCTCTATAGCAAGGGAAGTCCCGGCCCTTTCAACCTTCCTCTTCCCCTTGTGGGACAGGCGTCAGCCTTATAAGGCCCCAAGAGCAGAGCTCTAAGAAAAAAGTGAGCTATGTCAGCCTCTTTTTACCTTGACAAAGCCCTTAGAGAGTAGCCGACCAAACGGAGACCAAAGGACCTTCGATATTCCCACAACTTCCAGGGGGAGAATGCAACACTCAACTTCATCAGAACAGATGCAAGTATGAGAGCGGCATAATATAATAAGACATTCGCCATCAAAACTCAACCCCTAGGGAAACTGCAAGGGAGCTCCAGGTCTACTTAAATACCGTAGAGCAATTGGGGGAGAGTGCTCACGCCATGCTTGTACTTCTCGTACTCAGGAAAGGGAGGAAAATGAGAGCAAGGTATAATGCAGTGTGCTCAGTAAATCTCATTACTCCGACTCTAAACCCCAAGGGAGCCACAGGGGAGTTTAGGCCCTAATTAAAGACCACAGAACACTGGGGGAGAGCAGCTCATACCCTGCCTAGAGTAAAGGCACTCTACTTAAGACCCGCTATAGCTAGTGCTTCGTCTTTGTCTTTTAGCTCTAGACCATAGTATGTGACAGATAACAAGGAGGGAAGCACCGTCGACAAACTTCCTCTGCTTCTTAGATTTGCCTACATAACTCTATTCATGTAGCATCAACCCTTAGGGCCATCCATAGGGGAGATATGTTCCAGACAAGAGAAAGGCAGTCTGCTGCTTCTTTAGTTTGCCAATAACTCTCATTCAGCATACGCCAACCCCAAGGAGGCCGGAGGGGAGTTTATATAAAAACCCAAGTACACTGAAGGAGAGCAGCTCAACCCTGACTTACATATAGGCACTTCTCCAGTACATGCTATAGCTAGCATTTTACTCCAGTGCAAACTATAGCATGCAATAGATAACCAGGAGGGATGCCCCTTAGGCAGTCTACCTCTACTTGTCAGGTTCTTGAACCTGGGTCATACTAGAGAGGGCCTATAAATCACCCATTCATAGGGGACCAAACATCCTAATTCAAGACCCAACAGTAGTTGGGGAGGGAGGTGAACGAAGAAGAGGGAATCTAAACTGCCTTACATAACTCCATTCACCCTGCATCAACCCTAAGGGGGTATCTACCAAGTAACCATCTATAGGGGAGTGTATAACTCTACTTTAGATCCTAACATAGGGCAGAATACAGCACAACCCTGGTAAAAGATATTTCAGCATATCAGAGCAGAGTAATAGAAATGCCAGAGACAATCAACCTCTACTCACAATCACTGATCAATGCCACTCTCATCTTGGGGGGCATGTAAGGTGGGCAGGATGTCCTGAGACATATGCCCATGCTACAACTTAATCTGAAATATCTTTACCGAAAATGCACCGGCATGCAAAAGCAATCAAGCACTGCTCAGCGCACAATATGAAACAAGCGACAGAAAGAGCAGTTTCAGATTCCTGATTTTAACCAAAACCTGATCCATTTCTGTGCTGATTCAGCAATGGCAGATTTAAGCCCCTCCCTCAGGAGGGGGTCATGAATGATAAGGTAGAGTCCGTATAACGAGGTCCTTTACATCCTATCAATCCGACCCTGGACCTATGCCCCAGAGGGAAATTGCTGAACCACAGCATTGCTCTAGACCAGAAAAGATAGCTGGTCCATACTCTGTGCCTATCACTCGGGTCCATGAAGGCAGACCCCAACTTCAGCGTAAGAAATATTATCTCGACACCTCAATATGGAGATCTAGGAGGAATAAAAAGGCTCACCAACTTATATGTGGGACGCCGGAGGAGTCAAGCATGGGTGGAGCTTTCCATAGCAAATGCATCACAAAGAATGCATTCAACTCCCTTAAGAGCCGAATGCACTCCGTGCAAACACTATAATCTTATCACTCTATCGAGAATCAAGGGAGAATGCATTGCCATGAGTGCCTCCAACTCCCTCGAGAGCCGAACGTGCTTGTGCAGACTCTATCCATCGGGAGAGAATCAAACAAGAACAGAGCTTCTTACCGTGAATGCATCATAATGAGCGCATCCAGTTTACTCAGGAGTCAAACACGCTCCAAAAGAGTGTTATCTTAAGGCCAATTCACACCGACAAGACAAGACGGCAACAGACACTTCATTGGGTTTTTGTAAGATCAGTGTGTTACCCTTATCGGAGTCTGTTGGCATCTGACGGAGCTTGCTTTCGCCAATTGAACATACTTACTCGGGATTAGAATGTCTGATAAGTTACGCACTGTAATGTGGGGACTGACGGCATTGGTCTGCGACTGTCGGTGCAGTGTTAATTAGCTTTTACACGCACATACAAACAAGCGGCTCCTGAAAACAAAAAAGCTGATGCTGTGTATTACAAGCAGCCTTTTATACTTACGGGCACTCTACTTGTGATGTCATGAACTCTCGTCAGCCAAAAAATGTTCGTGTTTGTCACACATGCTTCAGACACCGGTCGTGCTGATGGCGTTCACCATAGCATCAATATCAGACGCGCCATTAAAGTTCCACTTTGAAAGGGAACAATGTTATTTATTTTGTTATACAATGTTATTTTATTATATATATATTTTGGCCAGTTTTAAGATAATGCTAATATTTTAAATATTTTATATTATCATTATTTTAGAGGCTGAAGTCGTCAAAGCTAAACCAGCCCCCGAGAAGAAAGGTTTGAGTTACTGTTGTCTGTTATTAAATTGACATTATCCCTAAGCCAAAATGTGTTCTTCTTCTAAAAAAAGTTATATTGTCATCACTGTAGAGGCTGAAATCATCAAGGAGAAAGTTAAACCAGCTCCTGTAAAGAAAGGTATAGATGTCAATGAAATCATCCTGTAATGATGTTGCTTCCCACTGTACGATCATTCATCACATGAATCAATGCTGTTTTACAGAGCCTGAAGTTCGTAAGGAAAAGGCACCTGAACCAGTGCCAGAACCTACAAAGAAAGGTATTAATATATAGTATAATCTATGTTTATCTTTTAACATTTGCCAATTTGAATACATAACTGAACACCATATGCATGTTTTCATATTTCAAGGTTTTCTCAGAAACAAATCCTTATTTCAAATCTCTTTTTCAGTCAAGGTTCCCAAGGAAGAGGCAAAACCAGTCCCTAAAGAAAAGGGTACCTATCTAGTTGATGTTTTAATTTAATTTTTCCATTTATTTAATTTGCTATCATAAAATTTACTGCCATGTTTTACAGAACCCGAAATAACCAAGGAAAAGCCAAAGCCAGCACCAAAGAAAGGTATTTTTGTGTGTGTGTGTGAGATTAATGCCATTTGAATGTTAGAATGAACTTTAAGGTAAATTAAACTACAGCTATTTAATAAGCTGTAACAATAACAATTTTCCTTAGTTCTGTGTTTTACATTTTCTAAATATGTTTTTCATCATCACTAATTCAGAAGCTGTAGTCATTAAAGAAAAAGCTAAACCAGCCCTCCTGAAGGAAGGTATGAGTTTATATGCTTCTATTTTTCCTGTATACTGTGATTATTCTAGCAAATCAAGTTTCAGCCTCCTGAAATAAGGTTATTTCAGGCATCAATTTTTTGCCAAGCCATAAGGCAAAGAGGTTTTATTCTGTTATTATTATTATTATTATTGCTGTTTTAGAGGCTGAAGTCATCAAAGAGAAAGTAAAACCAGCCCCCGAGAAGAAAGGTTTGATTTACTGTATTAAATTAACACCAAGCAGAATTTTATATTATGCTATACTAAGTTTTTTATTTATTCTGTATGTTTTTATTTTATCAACATTATAGAGGCTGAAGTCATCAAGGAGAAAGCTAAACCAGCCCCTGAGAAGAAAGGTAAGAGTTACCAACATTTTACCTCCAATTTAAAGACAATGTATATTTTACATGAATTGATTTATATTCTCCAAATATTTTTTGCATCATTTCCTTTTCAGAGGCTGAAGTCATCAAGGAGAAAGTTAAGCGAGCTCCTGTAAAGAGAGGTATGAATGCAAATGAAATCATCCTGCATATACGTAGTGTTGCTTTCTGTAATATGATTTTTCTATAAAATTATTATCACATGAAACAATACTCTTATATAGAGCCTACAGTCGCTAAAGAAAAGGCACCAGCACCAGAACCAAAAAAAGGTAAGTCTTTTTTGAAAATGTTGTAATTATACTGTTTTTGTAATTATGTTCAAAACCTTTTTTACACAATTTATTCTCATGTTACCCTCTTATCAATTGCACAAAAGTTACATTACGATCGCCCACTTTAGACATTATATTAACTATAAATAACTTTGCAACTACATTTCAACTATTAGCCATTAGAGTATTAGTTAGACTTTGTGCTTAAAGGAATAGTTCACTTTCAAATGAAAATTAGCCCTTGATTTACTCACCCTCAAGCCATCCTAGGTGTATATGACTTTCTTCTTTCAGACAAATAGAATCAGAGTTATATTAAAAAATATCCTGGCTCTTCCAAGATTTAAAATGGCAGTGGATTGCAAACAACAGATTGAAGCTCAAAAACGTGCATCCATCCATTATAAACGAACTCCAAACGGCTCCAGGGGGTTAATAAAGGCCTTCTGAAGCAAAACGATGAGTTTGTGTAAGAAAATGAAATTTTAAAGCTTTAAGTAAGTATAAATAAAGTAAGTAAAATAACTAGCTTCCGGCCAAACGAACATACGGATTCCACTTAAGTGTAAAGCGCAACTTACAGTGTGCAAGTAATGCGACGTACTGCTGATATTTACGCTACGCCATGACGCACTACACTACTTCTGACATCATAAATTTCATAAGTTGCGCATTAGGGGCAAGTAGACTGCGTTTGGCTGGAAGCTAGAATTTTACTTTGTAACGTGTTAAATATTAATATTTTTCTTACACAAATTCATCGTTTTGCTTCAGACGGCCTTTATTAACCCACAGGAGCAGTTTGGAGTTCGTTTACGATGGATGGATGCATAGATATAAACACTAGATGTCGCCTTGGCTATGGCAGTTCATTGGAACGAATGCGTCAATAGAGCCGCCATCTTGAAACAGGGGAACCCCTCATCAGCGTCAATGTAGGAAAAGGTCTAACGGAAATAAATCGTCATGAATGCGATTTTCTAGTTGTTTTGGTTCGTTCCAACGGTCAGACATTTTTTACAAAATTTCACAATCTTGTGAAATGTAATTCCTTGCTGTCTGGTTTTTAGATTTCGTTCGTGTAAACATCCATACGCTGCACAAAAGTCCGGCATCATCCATGAATTCAGCGTTACCTAGCTACTTCCTATGACAAGACCCCTGTTCCAAGATGGCGGCGGTTTTGACACATGTTTAGAACCCCAAGGCGACATCTTGTGTTTATATCTATGGGATGGATGCATGTTTTTGAGCTTCAATCTGTTGGTTGCAATCCACTGCCATTATAAAACTTGGAAGAGCCAGGATATTTTTTTATATAACTGTGATTGTATTCGTCTGAAAGAAGAAAGTCATATACACCTAGGATGGCTTGAGGGTGAGTTTACATGGGCTAATTTTCATTTTAAAGTGAACTAATCCTTTAATATCTGCTAACACTTTATTTTGATGGTCACTCAACAGACATTCTACTGACTATAAGCAAAGTTCCTTTAAGGCAAGTCATTTCACTCGGCGACCATCTTTGAAACGCCTCTTGGGCTGCTATTTCAGTCAAGCAAATACAGCTGCTATCACTTTAAATGGGGAATCATCAAATTCTCCAAAGCTGTTCATCAAGCGTACGATTAAATTTCATATTTGAATGCGCCAATAAAATCTGACAACAACTGTCTCATAAATTTAGTTACCGTACTAAACGTTCAAATCATGACAAAAAAAATGCTTTTTTCAGGCTGGACCATCCATATTGCGTGTTGCTCTTTCTCCTTTTTATAGTAATATGAGTGCAACGTCTTTGTATATCTAAAGTCTTTGCGATAAGTCACTTTGCACGTCAACCTATTCTACTAACCCTAACCTAACAGTCTACTAATACTCTAATGAGAGTTAGTTGCATAGTTATAAAAAATAAAGTGTAACTGATAAGAGCCTGTCTGAATGGCCACAGATCATTACACAAATTATTTCAAAACACTTGTGAACACACAGATGATGTTGGTCTTATCGGTCTGGATGTGGAGCTCCTGAACTCCATCAACCAAAAACTGTCTCTTCTGGATTTAATGAGGAAGGACATTGGTGAAATGAAGAGTGATCTGGAGTCCACTCAAAATCAAATTACACTTTTACGGATGGACAACAGAACAATGAAAGGTATTTCATCCATGCTAGAAATATTTAGAATTTTGACTATCATACTTGTATTTCCCTCAATTATAATTTAAAGTAAAGCTAACATTACAAATGATTTCTTGTTTTACGTGCTGCTTGTTTCTTTTACAGAGCTGGAGACTGTCAGTGTGAAAGTAAAACCAGCGGTCTCCAAGGAAAAAGCAAAAAAAGGTATCAAAATGTTTCAATTTCACAAGCTAGTCATGAATTATAGTCATCGAACTACAGCTAAACAGGAACCAGACTGTACATACAAGTCTTAAGCCTAGACTAAAATGCATGTTTGAGCTGTTTTAACTGAAAGCCACTTGCACGGATATATCTTCAAATATGTCAGTGCCATTGTTTTGTCTCAGGATGCACACCAGTAATGTATATTTTCTAAGACACGTTTATAAAAGCCACTTAAATGTCCTAATTGAACTGAAAAGGCCTAATCCTGGCTTAATCTAACCTCTGTCTGTGAAACCAGGCTCACAAGTTTTTATATAAAGTGTGATTCCCTCTTCAATGTTCACATGCTGAGAGTGAGTGAAACTTTTTCTTTTATAGATCGTGATGCTCTGATGAACGTTACAAAGGCAGCACATTTAAAAAAAGGTAATGGGCAATCATTCTATTATCCAACCTATTATTTTACTTGTTTATTCTCAGTGATATTTGTTTCTTTTGAAAGTTGATAATTTGTTAAAGCTGCAGTCTGTAGCTTTTTTAAGTTAAAAATAATCCAAAATAATTATATTAAAAAAAACTTATTCTGCCAGTGGTCAAAACTATCTGCTTGCCATAGCTAGATTCAAAACGGTTAGCTTGTAATAATGATTTTAATTCCAGTGGTACTGGTGGGTTTCCGCGGGAAATTCGAGCATGTCTTTGCGTCATTTCGTCACACCCGTACACATAAAGAAGGAGTTTCGGCTAGCCGGCTATACTGCGCGTGACGAGATGTTTAGATGTATAGGCTTTTCTCGCAGCACTTTACATGATTAAACTTATGGCATCCAGAAAGATCCAAACAACAATCATCAGTGTCAACTGGAGATTCAGCAGTTATAAAACCCAAAAGACTTCGTACTTCGGATTTAAGGTGGCTAGAGAAAGAGAAAGAAACCGTCTCATGCGAACACAAGGATTTAAACATCGGCGGGGCTTTTGAAAAGTGCGTGAACTCCGTGTTTTGAAGGGGTTCAAAACGGAAGAAGAGACGGCTTTTTTCTGCTGAACAAGTAAGACATTTCAATAGTTCAATCGTGTAACAGGACGTTTTCTTAATTCACACAGTTATGGAGTTTCCTTTGTTGTGCCTTTCTCGTTTTGCTATTATGGAGAATATGAATTCTGAACTACACAGGTAACCATAAAACACATTAAATTTAACATTAGTCACGCAATGCTGATGTGATGTTGTTAACATGAACAATTTGAGAACAAAGTAGGCTATAATTTGCACGGTTGCTGTAAATCGCGCTGATTAAATCTAACGAAGCTTATCATGTCGAATGCTTTTTCCCCCTTAGTTGGTCAGAACAAAAATGGATGTTACTTACTTGTTCAGAAAACATTTTCTTATGAAAATACTTATGTTGGTCAAACTTTCAAAAAGTGAATCTGTGATTCTGTATGACAGTATCCACACAGCGCGGTGACTGACAGCACCACTCGCCTCAAAACACTGTGTTCATCCGCGCCGTTTCATGCCGATTTACAACCCACGTAAAGATGATAATTCCGCGAATCACTGCAGTTACAGATTTCGAACAGAGAGATGGTGACAAAGAGGAAAAGCTACGGACTGCAGCTTTAATGAAATCGAAGCTTCGTAAGAGCAATATTAGAATATTATACATTTTGCACTTCTAGTTTTTATGTAGTCTTTTATGTACTTTTTATCCATATTGTCTTTTCGTCAGCTCTGTACTTTGCATGTATACAGTACAAGATGAGTGTAAATTATATCCAGCTCTCTTTGATCAGTTATGAAATGGAAGCTTGCATTCAGCTTAGCAAAGTTTTTCTTCTCCTCAACACAGAAAGTGATGCATTGAAAAACGTCACTAAACCAGCACTTGCAAAGAAAGGTATGTCAGAAAACTTCAGCAGATCACCAGGTATAATATATATTTATGTTAATTGACCGAATTTCTTTAAGCAAATTTATGAATGCTTTGATTTTGTGGGCAATTAAGACCAAAATCAGAAGTGCATTTTTATAATAAAAAAAAAGATTATTTATATCCACATTAAATTTTCCACATTCATTTTTCTATGCTAGACAAAGAGGCTCCAAAAGCTAAGATCAGACCAGAGCCCAAAAAGAAAGGTAAAATGTATTATTTACTCCTAAAAATTTATGTATTTTGTAAAAACTCATCTAACACATTGACTTTCTCCTAGTTTCGTAAGGGATAAAGTAAAAAGACACATTGTTGTTTTTGTGTCAGTGTTTATTAAATAAAAATATTTCCTGATGCTAGAAATCACCCGTGAAAAAGTCAAAGAAGTTAAGGAACCTTTACAGAAAGGTACTATGGCTGATTGCATAGAAAGATTATTTACTAACAGACTTTTAACAATGTTATTCTTCATTTCAGCAATAGTTCTGTATTTTTACACTCCAAGAATAATAATAATTTCATATATTCATTAACAGACATAACATTAATAGTTGATAATATGATAGTTGGCTAGTATATAATAATTCATTCAGGAGTATAGAAATCTTTTCATCTACATACTTGCTAAAAATATATTTGTACACATGAATTGTAATCAGATATTGCTTGAGAAGAAATATTGAAAGTATTAATCCCACCGAGCAATCCAGCACATAATGAACAGGAATCTGCTTCCCAGTAAAAAGGAATGCATAAAGTATGCTTTAGGGTACTTTTAATACAGCTATTTTCCTTTTTTTTTTTTTTTTTTTTTTAGAACCTGAGCATGTCAAAGAAAAAGGTATGTTTTTTTAATCCTCGAGTGCCTTGGCCTTGTATGTTTTTAATGTATGCTTTTTTGTATTTGCTTGTTTTTCCAATTTAATAGTTAAGCAGTTAGGGTATAATGTGAAGTCCACGTATTCTGGGCAACATATTGTACTATTTACAACCCCTCCCATGTACATTTTACCTGATATTTTGAATGTTCTCTAATCAGTAGTCCAGCCAACTGAGAAGGAAGCTGTCATAGACAAGGAAGTAAAAGGTAAGATATGCGTGTGCGTGTGTCTGTGTCTGTTTCTGTTCTGTGATTGGTAAATTTGGGATTAGGGGATAGAATATAAAGTTTGGACAGTATAACAATTATGTCTGTGGAAGGTCTCCATAAAACGTGTGTGTGTGTGTGATGTGTAAAATAAGATTAAAATTTAAAAAATGTTTTTTTTTTTTACTGTAGTAGAACCTGATGTCACCAAAGATATTCCAGAGATAGAGGAGGGTACGTTTTTGTTTACGTTTTCACTATATCAAGTTTGTACTCAAGAACATGGTGAAGCTTTATCTGCATTATAATCAAACCATATTATGTGCTTGTTTTTTTTTTAAAGCAATCTCATTTTAATTTTATGAACCATCTTGACAACAGAAATATTTCAAAGTCAGAGACAAAAGTCTGTTCACTGTACTTTTTTTTTTTTTTTCTCTGTATGTGCTATTCCCAAAAAATAATCCTAAAAACAGCCTCTAATTTTATTTCCACTACAGAGGACATTCCCTACTTCCAGTGTTTCTTTGTGGATGAGGATGATACTCAGTATCCGTTCTTCCCCTTTTCACCGCCGCTGTGGTGAGTCCAGCCAAACCTCTGAGTCTGACGTTAAACAACATGGCAAAGCCAGTGGAGGACAGACCTCTGAAGACTGAGGAACCTGCTAATGTAATGCAGCATAGAGGTTCACAGTAGGTCCTACAGCATTACATCAACAACGACCTAGAAACGTGAAAGAGATTTGAGTTACTTCCTGGATTTCGAACTTCTTGGAAAACTTCTTTCTCGAATTTTTAAAGTCAAGTCACCTTTATTTATATAGCGCTTTTTACAACACAGATTGTTTCAAAGCAGCTTTACAGTGATTACAGGAAAATAATGCAACAAAGTTTGTTTCTAGAAGAACAGAGGTCGCAAACATTGCATTAAATATTATCTTAAGGCTATCCATCTTTTAATTGATACCATGGATTTGCGTATAGTTTGTCCAGACAGCACTGACAGGAAGTAATGAACCAACTTTCTTCCTTTCTGAACACTACAGTGGGGTTCAGGATACTAAGATCATACAATCTTTTATATATAAGGTACATTACCTCATTTTGATGGGGTGCTAATTCAAAGCATTCCACTGTTTTCTGTCAGAAGGAAGGGAGGAATAGGTCAAGATATAATAGATTAAGAAATATTTAAACAAATATTTCATGTATATTTTCTTAGTAACAACGTTTACTAAACCGTTTACAGACGTAACAACTGCACTGAGAAATAAGGGCTTTGGACAGTAAGCTCAGTTCCTCTGAATGTATAGATATTTAGATTATATAGATTTATTTTTTATTATTTATTTTTTATTATTTTTAGTTTTCCATACATTTTATTTAATATAATTTGCCAATAAATCATACATAGTTTGCCAATTAATCATATAAGTTTATAAATCTATACTTCAGGCTCTATGAAACAAATGTTTTGTTCAGTGCTCTGTATGAAGGAACACACTGGATTTTGCATAAAGAAATGAAACCAAACAGTGGTGCTTAATCCAGGAAAACGCATTAAACATCAAGGAAACTGCACTGTTTTAATCCAAGCGAATGTATTTCTTTTTACATTGCAAACGCTGCCGCATTTTTCCACAGAACATTAATAGTTTATGTAGGTGAAAATGTGGGTGTTTTGCAAAATTACATGGATAGACCTACCTAATGAAATGGAATTCTAATTGTGTTATAAAAATAGTCTGTATTGCACATTATACACGTACAGAAGATTTTTTTTCAGTATGGGATAATATGGTGTGCCAGATGAAATGTATTGCATGTAAGCACAGTGTTTCTCAGCACTGGCTTTGGTGGGTCCCTGGCACTGCACCTGATTCTCATCAGCTCATTAGTAGAGCTCTCCTTTACTTGATTTAATGATGTTAGTGAGTGTTTAATAGTGTGTACTAATGAGACTCCTAAAATGTGCTGTGCCAGTGGGCCACCCCGGAGCCATTTCTTTTACCGCCACTGTCTTTCCTGCAGGAGTTCAGCATGTGGCTCCATAGAGGATAAACTCATGTCTGTACAAAGATCTTCATAAGTATGTATGTGATATTATTTTTTTTCCTCTGCATATGCATACTATAGCAGTACTCAATCGTAACGGAAATATGTCTTTTTTTGACTTACTTTAACCATGGTGGATTATGGGCCTGTTGGCGTGTTTTCATACAAACTGTGCAGCAATGAATAACCTTTTCAAACTAGTTCCTTGCATAGTGTTGCTTTTAAATATAATTCACAATTAATATATGTTCCTCAAAGATAATAGTTTTGCATGATGTTTGCATGAATTATATTGTATCTAATCCAGATCATATTTAATTTGTTTTTGTAATTGGAATTATATCATTTATCATGTAATATTGTGTGTGCATGAGGGGTGGGAGGGTTGGTGTCTTTTGCATGGTTTTGCGGTCAGATATTCAAAATGACAAAAGTTGTGAAATGCATTAATATGTACATTCTCTGTAAAAGTTATAGCCTTAAACTGAATCAGATTTATAAATCTATCAAGTGAATCAACAATATGGCCACCGATCAAAAAAGAGCCCTGTATGCAACTGTATATGCCAGTGAAACTGCAATGCAACTCTAACTGTAATAGACTCAAATTCTGCTGAAGGTCTGATTTAAGACTTAGAAGAAATAAATGTTTGCAATTATCAAACCAATTGTTTAATTTTTTTGTGTACAAAGCTATAGAATTATTTGATTATTTACAGAATTACTTATTTACAGACTTTTTATGCTATTCGCGTTTGTTTTATTAACAGCATTTTTGTCTTTTCTTTTCTTTGACTATTTCAATATCACCCAGGCCATTATGTCAACATCCACTATCACCAGTAGGTGGCATTACTGCAATAGGCTCTCATGTTTCCTTTCGGGTCCTTTTGTAATTTTCCTATAAAAGTTTAAACCTAAAATCAATTGCTAATTAATAACATATTAATAAGTGTATTCACATTAAACTATTTTTCACAATATTAAGTGATGCAACAAACTGCATTTAAATGACTGAAATGTAATGTAGAGTGAAACAACTACATTTAATTAGCTTTTTTAAATAATTTAGATGATTATAAAAGATTAAGGATTCAGAAACATGCACATTTTTGTAATCTATCCTACAAAGAGCTGCCAAAAGTTCAGTGTGTTAACTGCATTGGTATGCACACCCTGCTTTGTGCTATTCAAGGTTTCTGCCAGACTGCTATTCAAGCATCCAAAAAAAAAAAAACTTAAACATCTCCATGCCAACAGAGGCCATTCCTAACTGAGCATATCCTAAAATTCCCTGTGCATGGTAAGCTATATATTTTATTATATACACACAGTAATGTTAAAAAGAAAGTACACCCTTTTGAATTTTATGGTTTTACATATCGAGACAATAAAAAAAAATCATCTGGTTTGAACAACAAAATAAAACATATTACGCTATGTTATTATTTATTTACCAAAAATAAATCCAAAATAAATTAAGCGTTTTTTAGGTACACTTTCCTAGTACCGGGTTGGACCCCCTTTTGCCTTCAGAACTGTCTTGGTTCTTTGTGGCACAGATTCAACAAGGTTCTGGAAACATTCCTCTGAGATTTTGATCCATATTGACATAGCATCACGCGGTTGCTGCAGATTTGTCGGCTGCACATCCATGATGAGAATCTCCAGTTCCACCACATCCCGAAGCTGCTCTATTGAACTGTGGAGGCCATTTGAGTTTAGTGAACACTTTGTCATGTTCAAGAAACCAATTTGAGATTTGGGATCATGGTGTGTTATCCTGCTGGAAGTATCTATCAGAAGATGGCATAAAGGGATGGACATGGTGAAACAACAATACTCAGGTAGGCTGTGATGCTCTTCTGCAGTTGTAACTAGTGGTAATTTGAGTTACAGTTGCTTTTCTATCAGCTCAAACCAATCTGGCCATTCTCCTCTGACCTCTGGCATCAACAAGACATTTTCACCCACAGAACTGCTGGATATTTTCTCTTTTTCGGACCATTCTCTGTAAACCCTAGAGATGATTGTCCCAGTAGATCAGCAGTTTCGGAAATACTCAGACCAGCCCGTCTGGCACCAACAACCATGCCATGTTCAAAGTCACTTAAATCACCTTTCTTCCCCATTCTGATGCTCAGATTGTCTTGACCATGTCTACATGCCTAAATTGAGTTGCTGCCATGTGATTGGCTGATTAGATAGTTGTGTTAAAGAGCAGTTGATGGTGAGTGTGTGTATCAGGCAATCATTTTTCAAAATGGATACCAGCTAATACTAACCATTACTATTTTTAGGAACACTTTTTTCCTCTCCAAGTTTATTTCAGTTTTTTTTATTTGTGTCTATACTATGGAATTTTAAATAGTTCTCACTGGTTCGACAAGGACAAGAAAATCAATATTGGGACATATGTAGCACAGATGGCTGTTGATTTTCAGCAATGGAAGAGTTTGCACATAGACATCCCTCCATTAATACAAATTTGAAACTGAAACCAAATGAACACACATTCGTTTGAATCAGTCTCTCACACTAAACATTGCTATCCATTATGCAACAAGACTACTCTAAAATTAAAAGCAGTCCCAGAGTGAACCGTGGTCCAGTCCTGGAACGGTGCCTGATTACAATCTGCATTGTCGACTGAAATATTTTCTCTTCTGTGTTAACAGTTCCCATGGCAGACATGGAGGAGTGTCAGGGTTTCCCAGAGCCTCTTTGCCTCTTTTCTTTTCATTGGGGAACAACGGGGAGAGTTTCTTTCATGATGCTTGGCAAGAGCATAATCTGGCAGTGATGTCACTCCCAAACTTATAGGCTATTGGCTACGGAAGAACGGACTACTCTCGGCCCACAAAGAAGAGAGGCGAAATCAGCTTAAAGCTGAACCGTGGTTGGCCTACAGAAGAAAAAAAAAAGGGAGAAGATGAAGGCAAGCATTCATGCTTCCTGACAAATGGCCACAGAGACTTGACATAGACTGAGGGGCTGAATAGACCCCCCATATCCTCTTGCTTTTTTCTCTCTCTCGCTCAGTCAGTTTGTAGACAAAATTAGTCTACACGGTAGTCTTGGCATTTTGGAAACACCTGTGGTGATCTAAAAGAAATGAAAGCTTTAGTTTATTATATAGGTTTTAGAATTCAGTTCCTATTAAACACGCTGTAATGTTGCTGGAGAAAGCAGGCGAAGGCGAGGATGGGTTTTTAATGAAATAACACATAGAACAAATAATAAAGAACTCCAAGGACAAAGAAATAAAACCACGAGAAGGACCGAACTAGAAGCAACCATACATGTACAACAACTGACAAAGTAACAAGTGAAACACAAGGGCTATAAATACACAGGGGCAAACAAGCTTAACTAGGAAACGAGGAAACAAGACACACCTGGGGAGACTAATCAACATGAAAAACTACATAGGACTACAAGACTTAGCACAAGACAGGAAATGACAAAAGTACACACAAGACAAGTGGAACACAAGACAGGAATCATGACACACGCAACTAATGTCTTTTCACCTACACTGCTACTTAATATAAATGCAGAGGAATCATTCAATACTCATTACAGATGAACACAAAATACTACAAATTCTTTATTATTCTACAGAAAATGCAAAAGTTACTACTTTTGTGAGAAAATGCCATGATATTGCGAGTGAACAATATATTGAAATATCATTTTTCTTCACATCTCATGTGCTCTATACAAAAGAGTGACATTGCCCGAAGAACATTTGCAATTCGCTCACAAAAGCACCGAGAAATAGTTTTTCCTCCCACCTCATATTATTTCCATCACAATGATTTTGCAAGCAACTGCAAAGTTTTTTGGGGGAATGCAATTGAAATCGTTGAATACAGTTTTTCTCCCACCTCATGTTTTTCCATTACGAAGTTTTACAAGTGCATGCAAACCTGCTGAAAGAAAGCATAAGCTAAGCTAAAACCAGCCTAAGCAGGTTGTCTGGTCTCAGGTGATGTAAGCTGGATCCTGGATGTAGCTGGTCTCCCAGCTTGGGATCTTCAGCCTGACCAGCTAAAATCAGTCTCACCAACCCCTCTAAAACCAGCCTGCTAAACTAGCTATGACTGGTGGACCAGCTAAGACCAGCCAACCAGTTTGGGTTTTTTTTTTTTCAGCATGCAAGGAAAGTTTTAGCCCAATAAACAATACAGAGTAGCATACGTTTTAGACAATATATTGCCAGTTATTACTTGTTCTGATTCAATGATTCACTCATTTCTGAATGAATCAATTATTTGATACCTATTGCATGGTTATAGAATAGTACTACAGATTACTGGAGCTTTCAGTGTAAATACAAATACTACAGTAATTCAGACATCATTTTGCGTACTTTTTTTCACATGCTATATACAATATATATTTTTAGGCATATACAGATGCAGCGAGTCACTACTGGTATAGTGAATACGTAACTAACCTGCATAAAGATTCACTGAATACCCACTACTAATGTTATTAAGTTATTATAGCAAAATATATAGACTTATCAACCTTTAAAGTCAACATGAATTCAAAATGGACAATTCTTATTTTTATATAGAATACTGCAGTATTTATTATGAATGATTTATCCGTGCACACACACACACACACACACACACACACACACATATATATATATTAAATGA